CACGACGTTTCGGAGGCAACACAAGTCTCCGTTAATTGAGTTATCTTCATTTATTTTTATTTGATTATTCTTTTTTTACCTACGTGACTTTACCAAAAAAACCTACAAGTATGCAGGGATTAATATTCTTAGGTTTTTCCGGTAAAGTCGCGTAGAAGGGAAATAATAAAATAAAAAAAATTCAACAATATTCTCATGACGTTTCGATTGCAACACGAGCAATCATCAGGTCGTGAGAATTTTATTTGTATTATTTTAGTACTTCCCTTCTACGTGACTTTACCGAAAGAACCAAAAATATGGCTCAGCCGTGCTTCACGTGAGCCAGTTCTCGGCGTGATCCCAGCACCATGGGCCACCGCTGCTCGCTCCGCTGGTCTCGATGTCACCTCTCGCCCGCTCCGCTCTAAATCTCCCCCACTCCCCACAGTTTCACCCTCCACTTGTGCACAATCCACCGCTTCCGCTACTCTTTCCCTACTTGCCCCCATGCACTGCTACAAACTTCCCCTCCGCATTAAGCGGCCGTCCATAAATGACGTCACGCACCTGGGGGGGGGGGGGCAGATATTTGTGACGATGTGTGACGAGGGGGGGGGGTGTTTGAGAAATGTGACGTCACATCAAAATGCGAAACTTTAAATAAATATAGACAACACGTTCTACTTAATTAAATAGACTTTTTAATAAATGTTTTATCCTACAACAGAGTGCAGCGCCACATTAAATACGCACTACAATGACAATAGTTTAAAGCGATTTGAAGCATGTTTTATATTCAAAATGGAAATATGGTTTGGGGGGGGGGGGCAGAGCTTTGTGACGTCATATTTGAAGGGGGGGTCTGACTTTTTGTGACGCCGCGTGACGAGAGGGGGGGGGGGGTAAAAAAATCGTCCAAAATCGCGTGACGTCATTTATGGACGCCCCTAAGCGAACACCCTCCCCATCTCGTTTCCGCTCCTCCCTCAAGACCCCACCTCTTCTCCCTGGCCCGATCATTGCCGCCATCCCTAGGGACCCCCAGTAATTCCCGTACCCATTAAGCCTCCCTCCACATACCCCCGTCCCTATTCACCGTATCACCTTGAGCTACCCTCAGTGTACCACTCACAAACCTTGTAAAGGGCCATGGATAAAGCCGCTGTAAAAATATAAGATAAGGTTTGGGCTCTGGATCAAGTTTTGTTTCATTCGTGGACGGGAGTGAGCTACATTCATCCAGAAACTGAACACGTTCCTGCGGAGGGAGCTGGTAGGAGCGTTGGGTTGCTCGATCAATGGCCAGGGTCAACGGCGGCGTGGTGTATTCCGCAAATATGCCCGACTGTGAGGGCGGGCACAAGCCGGCGTGAGTAGGTTAAACGTTGAGTTTTATAAGGGCACCACGGGGTGACCAGCCCCTCCCCACCCAGCCCCTCCCCCACCCAGCCCCACCACTCCCACCCAACCCCACCCAGCCCCTCCCCACCCAGCCCCTCCCTGCACGACGGACACAATAATACCCTGTGGGCTGGTGTAACCAGGAGGTTCCTACCAGTATTAAGAATGACCCTACGAGTGCCTTGATGGGGGGGGACCCCGTTTCAACATGTGCATTATAACGTTGCAGGCACTGCGTAGCCAACACATTCGAGGAAAACAGCATCCGAGTCGTGCACCATTCCAGTAACACCCGGCAGGTGATGCGCACATCGACACTGAAGCACCAAGTCGCATGAAATTCCCGTTAACCACATGTGCGGGGATACACTGTTAACGCGCATCAGAAACGTTGCACCAAATTGCGCCTGGGGGTGTGTGTGTGCTAACCACGTGTGCGAGGGAAATCTGAAAATCAAGGAAATTGCAACAACAAAACAAATAAAACAGGGGTGGTGAGGGATTTAAGCCGAAACCACGAAGCGAGACTCGTCTCAAACAAAATGATTTTCCCACCGTCAGGGAGCCGGGGGCTCAAAGCAACGAGCCTCCTGCCTCGAGCTCCGGTGCCAGACACGGCGGATCAGGATTCTAAGAGAAGCTGCAATGCAGCAAGTTGGCTAGAGGGGGGTGGCCAGCTGGTGCATCTTCTCATTCATCTCAGTCGGTCAACACCATGGCACATGGCTGGGTCTGTCCCGTGACCTCCTTGTCAGCAGCCAGACTTCGACGCTTCACGTGACGGCCTCAAGGTTGCACCCTGGACTGGCACAGACGCCGCGGTTGACGTTACCGCCACTTAGTGGCGAATGTTGGGGTGTTGGTATGGATGAATGTGTCCATATGCACCTATGGGGAGCGGTCGTGGAATGGTTAGCGCTACGCTGTGTTACGAACCCGTCTTCCCGGGTTTGATTCTCGCTCACGGCCAACACCGGTGACCGTTATCTGAACCGGTCCTAGACCTCCCCTAGGTCGACTCAGCCTCAAATGAGTACCCGGTGCGGTGTGTAAACGTCGCTACTTGGGAGACAAAGGCGGCCGTCATAGGTGCTACTCGCTAACAGCACTTGCCCCAACAGTCTGTGACAGGCTATACGGGGATCTTTGTCACATGCACCCAGCATGGCACACGCTGCTGAGCAGCTCGTGAATAAGACCTTAAAAGTCTCTCAAAACGAATCGTGTTTTGGTGACGCTGATGCTGCGTTGGCGGTGGTGCACAGCAGGCACGACTCAATACATTCGTCAATAGCACCGAAGACAAATACTCGGCGACGTGTCGGACATGGCCCTTATTCAAAACATAAACCTGATGCTTCTTCGATCACTTTTATGTGTTGTTTAGTGAGCCTGTTCCCGAACTTCAGCGAGTGGGTAGGTGAGAGAGAGGGTGGGTGGGTGTGTGGGTGAGTGGGTAGATGAGTTATAGAGTGTGTGAGTGGGTTGGTGAGAGAGTGGGTGGGTGAGTGGGTATATGAGTTATAGAGTGTGTGAGTGAGAGAGTGGGTGTGTGGGTGAGTTATAGAATGCGTGAGTGTGGGTGGGTGACAGGGTGGGTAAGTGAGAATGGATGGGAGAGAGAGTTGGTGGGTAAGTGGGTAGGTGAATTATGGAGTGCATGAGTGGGTGGGTGAGAGAGTGGGTGGGTGAGTGAGTGGCTGGGTGGGTGAGGGAGTGGCCGGGTGGGTGAGTGGGTGGGTGGCTGAGAGAGTGGCTGGGAGGGTGGATGAGTGGCTGGGTGGGTGAGTGAGTGGCTGGGTGGGTGAGAGAGTGGGTGGGTGGGTGAGAGAGTGGCCGGGTGGGTGAGAGAGTGGCCGGGTGGGTGAGTGAGTGGCCGGGTGGGTGAGAAAGTGGCCGGGTGGGTGAGTGGCTGGGTGAGTGAGTGGCTGGGTGAGTGAGTGGCTGGGTGAGTGAGTGGCTGGGTGGGTGAGAGAGTGGATGGGTGGGTGAGTGAGTGGCTGGGTGAGTGAGAGAGTGGCTGGGTGAGTGATAGAGTGGCTGGGTGAGTGAGTGAGTGGCTGGGTGAGTGAGTGGCTGGGTGGGTGAGAGAGTGGCTGGGAGGGTGGGTGAGTGGCTGGGTGGGTGAGTGGCTGGGTGGGTGAGAGAGTGGCTGGGTGGGTGAGTGGCTGGGTGAGTGAGTGAGTGGCTGGGTGAGAGAGTGGCTGGGTGGGTGAGTGGCTGGGTGGGTGAGAGAGTGGCTGGGTGGGTGAGAGAGTGACTGGGTGGGTGAGAGAGTGGCTGGGAGGGTGAGAGAGTGGCTGGGTGGGTGAGTGGCTGGGTGGGTGAGTGAGTGGCTGGGTGACTGAGAGAGTGGCTGGGTGGGTGAGTGAGTGGCTGGGTGGGTGAGGGAGTGGCTGGGTGGGTGAGTGAGTGGCTGGGTGGGTGAGAGAGTGGCTGGGAGGGTGGGTGAGTGGCTGGGTGAGTGAGAGAGTGGCTGAGTGAGTGGCTGGGTGAGTGAGAGAGTGGCTGGGTGGGTGAGTGGCTGGGTGAGTGGGTGAGTGGCTGGGTGGGTGAGTGGCTGGGTGAGTGAGAGAGTGGCTGGGTGAGTGGGTGAGTGGCTGGATGAGTGAGAGAGTGGCTGGGTGAGTGAGTGGCTGGGTGGGTGAGTGGCTGGGTGGGTGAGTGGCTGGGTGGGTGAGTGGCTGGGTGAGTGAGTGGCTGGGTGAGTGAGTGGCTGGGTGAGTGGGTGGTCTGTGGGCTTGGGCAGGCGATGTCACGGCGGGAAGGGACCAATGGACGATGGTCGAGACTAAGCAGGCGCAACAGCAGCAGCTGCCACAGCGGGGCACGCGTCCGGGCGGCCGTCAGCACGGGGCGACTCGTGCAGAAGAGAGGGGTGGGTGTTCTCCACCGCGGCAGCAGCAGCGGTGGTGGGGGGTAGTGGTGGTGGGGTAGTGGTGGTGGTGGGGGGAGGGTAGTGGTGGGGGGGTAGTGGTGGTGGGGTAGTGGTGGTGGTGGGGGGGGGGGTAGTGGTGGTGGGGGGTAGTGGTGGTGGGGTAGTGGTGGTGGTGGGGGGGGGGGTAGTGGTGGTGGGGGGGTAGTGGCGAGGCCTTCATCCAGCAGCGGATCGACCCTGAGCCGACGGCAAACGCCGGGTGACCTACGGGACGTGGCCGCGCCCCATTGGCCGGCGGCGAGCACGTGACCGCCTCCGCTTCCGCGCAGGCGCGCGCTGATTGGCCACTTTAACGAACCGGCAAAGCGTCGAGCGATGAATGAATGGGTGAAGGAAAGTGTTTGTCGCCCCTCCCCCTGGCGCCTCATGGCGAACGAGTTCGAACGGCCGCACGTAAACATCATCGTCGCGAAGCGAACGCGAACGTCGGTCGAGGCTTCACCGTCACCCCCCCTGCCCCCCCTAATTGACGTCGACTCATTCGCGTTTGTGACGCTTCGTTGGCATTGCGGGGGTGGGGGGCGCCGATTGGTTCGTCGGCCCGTAGCGCCGTCAGCCAATCGCGAGGCGTCTCGGCGGGTCACGTGTGAGCAAGGCGACCAATTGGGAGGGGTGATAGGGGGAGGGGGCTGAGTGGTGGTGGGGTTCTTCGGGGTCAGGGGTCACAGTGAGGCCCGGGCTCAGCTGAAGGGTCACGCACGCACCGGCGCACCTAGCCTGGCACCGAGCCGGGCTCCCCTTCACAACGCGAAGCTCGCCGGGTTTCGCGCGCCTCCATTGCCGAGCGGAGCTCAGCGTGGAGCTCCGTTTACAGACGAGCACGTGTGAGTATCACGCGCGAACGCGGCGTAGCTGTGTTACAGGGAAGGCCCTGCGTGTCTTGTGGTGTCTCACAGGGGCATGGCTGAGTGTCTCACAGGGGCATGGCTCAGTGTCTCACAGTGACATGGCTCAGTGTCTCACAGGGGCATGGCTCAGTGTCTCACAGGGGGCATGGCTCAGTGTCTCACAGGGGCATGGCTCAGTGTCTCACAAGGGGCATGGCTCAGTGTCTCACAAGGGGCATGGCTCAGTGTCTCACAGGGGCATGGCTCAGTGTCTCACAGGGGCATGGCTCAGTGTCTCACAAGGGGCATGGCTCAGTGTCTCACAAGGGGCATGGCTCAGTGTCTCACAGGGGACATGGCTCAGTGTCTCACAGGGGCATGGCTCAGTGTCTCACAGGGGCATGGCTCAGTGACTCACAAGGGGCATGGCTCAGTGACTCACAGGGGCATGGCTCAGTGTCTCACAGGGGCATGGCTCAGTGACTCACAGGGGGCATGGCTCAGTGTCTCACAGGGGCATGGCTCAGTGTCTCACAGGGGGCATGGCTCAGTGACTCACAAGGGGCATGGCTCAGTGTCTCACAAGGGACATGGCTCAGTGTCTCACAGGGGGCATGGCTCAGTGTCTCACAGGGGGCATGGCTCAGTGTCTCACAGGGGCACGGCTCAGTGTCTCACAGGGGCATGACTCAGTGTCTCACAGGGGGCATGACTCAGTGTCTCACAGGGGCATGGCTCAGTGTCTCACAGGGGGCATGGCTCAGTGTCTCACAGGGACATGGCTCAGTGTCTCACAGGGGCATGGCTCAGTGACTCACAGGGGGCATGGCTCAGTGTCTCACAGGGGGCATGGCTCAGTGACTCACAAGGGGCATGGCTCAGTGTCTCACAAGGGACATGGCTCAGTGTCTCACAGGGGGCATGGCTCAGTGTCTCACAGGGGCATGGCTCAGTGTCTCACAGGGGCACGGCTCAGTGTCTCACAGGGGGCACGGCTCAGTGTCTCACAGGGGCATGACTCAGTGTCTCACAGGGGCATGACTCAGTGTCTCACAAGGGGCATGGCTCAGTGTCTCACAAGGGGCATGACTCAGTGTCTCACAGGGGCATGGCTCAGTGTCTCACAGGGGCATGGCTCAGTGTCTCACAAGGGGCATGGCTCAGTGTCTCACAAGGGGCACGGCTCAGTGTCTCACAGGGGCACGGCTCTCTTGCAATGTTTCATGGCAGAGGTGATGGACACGTGTCTCTCACAATGGGTGTGCGGGCACAGTCGTGCTGCGTGGGTGGCAGTGGTTAGGGACATTAGATTGAACGAAGTTGCTTGAAAGTGTTACGTAAAGAGTACATGTCTGGTAAAACCCGTTGGAAGTAAATAAATAAATTACCAAAAATACGTGCATTTTTCTTTGCGTTTATCCCTCGAATATGCACACACCCTGAGTAAACAGTTTAGTCTTTAGGTGAAGTGTCCTGTGCCTAGTTCACGTTTTGCATTCAGCTTTAACGGAAATAACAAGTTAAAATCCCCTCTCAAACAGGCATTGGTCGTGTACATCTTCCCTGGCAATCTGCAGCCAGTGATAGAAATTCAACATTGATATGGCAGCGGCCAGTAGATCTATATCATGAGCACTGTTGACTTCAGACATAGTTGTACTTTTTTGTCGCCCATGGAAGGATAATGGGCCGAGTCAACTGATCCCGGATGTGAGCTCTTAACTTTTTGATGATAAGTTCAACACTGACCACAGCGCCACCTTGGCAGATAATTACAGTCACGACGCACATGTGAGTCCAGCCTTCGTCATGTACATTCTCGATATAGCCAACACGGATTGCGTTGTTACAGTCAGCTGGCTGGGTCACTTGTGCATGTTTTAATGTTTTTTTATGCCTCTCTCTAATTTACAACTCTTCGGCTTACTAATTGGCTGCTGATGCCTGTCGCTTTTGCTCTGCGCTCTCCAGCAGGAGCTGTTCACTTGTCTGCACTCACAACACCCTCTATGCTTCAGCTCCCCACATCAAAACATAACCTGCAGACCAAGGTATCCAAAGAAATCGGCATCACTTTATCACTTGTGCCTGTTAAAGTAGACAACATAAAATACAAACAGCTCTCGCACACCGAGGCTGTGCATTCCGGACTGTTCCATGTTAATTATGAGCTTCGTTAATGAGAAAATTGTATTTTACATGACTCTTTAGTACACCCTAGTGCCAACTCTGTGGTGTCGTTATATATTTAAATACAACATGAACAGGATGTAATTCTGTCCATAAATGGATGAACACATCCTGTGCTTCTGTGTCCCCCATGTCTCTGCACTGACCATCTCTACATCTTTCCATGTCTCAATCCCATCTGTGTCTTTGTCATTTGATTATCTCCATCTCCGCCGTGTCCCTGTCCCGTTTGTGTCCTCATCCACCCCGTGTCTCCATGTCCTCTGTTGTCTCTCTTCCTCTGTCTCATTATCTCCCCCGTGTCTCTGTCCCACCCGTGTATCTCTGTGTCTCAGGAGACGGTGGTGTCGGTGCCACCGGAGGATCCTTCTCGTGACGCGAGTCTCGTGTCTCCGCTCCACCTCGCCATGTCTGCCGCGGCATCGAATCGCAAGCGCGGCCACCGGCGCACGCCTTCGTGGACGCCCGACACGCGTCTCGACGGCCTGGAGGACAGCAGCGCCAGGCTCCCGCTCATACAGGTGTCCGGTGTCCTCTGTTTTGTTTTATCTTCCCCCCCCCCCCAACGACTACTATACGCACATGGGTGGGGTGGTGCCGTGGTGTAACAAAGTACACTTGGTTTAGCTCTCTCCGGACACGCAACGCAGAGGTCGCTGGTCTTTGGTTTGACTCGTGCGGGCAGCAGCTTTAACAGAAAAACAACAACTAACAATACAAAAAACACGATAGGAGTGCACTTGATGGGATCCCAGAAAACGTTCTGCTAAATTGGCCTCCGGCCTCCACTGATTTTAGATTTGATGGGTTTTCTCGTCATTTACAGATTTTAATTCTGCCTCTGCTGGCTTTTTTATATCACGGATTGATGCAGTGGTGTGCGAGGTTTTTGAATTGACACTTGGTCTCATGACATGAAATTGATAGCACAATTGGAATACAATTTTGAAGTAAGTAGATAGAATAGATTTGTTCTTCTTTTTTACCCAAGGTCATTTTACCGATGGAATCAAGTGTTGCTACTTTACATACAAGCAGCGGCTCACAGCGAACTCAAAGTATCTCCACGCTCAAACGAGCGCGGCTCTGTGCCACCCCTTTCTCACCAGCACGATGGAGCCGTGAGCGGCAGTGATGGTTTCTCAGGGAGCGCGAGGATGGACGGGGCGCAGGAGCGGCCATCGGGGTCGCTCAGCGGCGACGCGATGGACGTCGGCTTGGCCCCGCGCGGACGGGGCAGTGTGCGCGGCGAGGGCCGCACCATCGCGCTGCTCTTCTTCCTCTACGTCCTGCAGGTGCGGCCCCCGTGGCACACCGTGCGGGCGAGCGGGCGTGCGTGCGTTAGTGTGCGAGTGAGCGTTTGTGTGTTGGTGTGTGAATGTGTGCTCATGTGCACCTTGCATGGCACAAGCGCCATGATGGTGTCACCGCCACTGTGGGGTGAACGGCGGTTGTTATTGTTCGTGTGTGAGGATCGGTGGTGCAACGGTTAGAGCGCTGCGCTACGAAACCTGACGATTCCCACTTACAGCCACCGACACCAGTGACGATTATCCGAATTGGTCCTGGGCATCCCCGAGGTCGACTCGGCCTCAAATGAGTACCTAGTGTAGTGTGTAAACATTGCCACTAGGGAGACAAGGGCATCCGGGCGTAGTGCTGCCCACCCACCCCCTGGTGTGCCGTGCCAGCCCTTCACAGATGCTCGCAAACGGCACTGCCCCAAAAGTTTGTTCAGGCTATACGGCGGTTCTCTGTCATTTGTCAATGTACATGCATAAGTATGAGCATGAGTGTACGAGCGGGTGAGTGCGAGCGCGTGTGTGCTGGTGCGCGGGTATAAGCTCGCGTGCGAGTACGCGATTGCACGTGCAAGTGAGTGTTTGCGTTTGTGTGCGAATGCACGTGTGAGTGGACGTACATGTGTGCGTGCGCGGGCGTGAGTGCACACGCGCACAAGTGGCAGTACGCGAGCGCGACAGTGCGTGAGCCTTTGCCGACCGCTCGGCCGCTCCCTCCGGCAGGGCATCCCGCTGGGGCTGGCGGGCAGCGTGCCGATGGTGCTGCAGAGCCGCGGCATCAGCTACAAGGACCAGGCGCTGTTCAGCTTCGTCTTCTGGCCGTTCAGCCTCAAGCTGCTGTGGGCGCCGCTGGTCGACGCCGTCTACAGCCGTCGCTTCGGCCGCCGCAAGTCGTGGCTGGTGCCCACGCAGTACCTGCTGGGCGGCTTCATGCTGCTGCTGGCGCGGCACGTAGACCAACTGCTGGAGGGGCCCCACATCATGATGCTCACCGCTACCTTCTTCCTCTTCGAGTTCCTGGCGGCGACCCAGGACATCGCCGTGGACGGCTGGGCACTCACCATGCTCTCTAAGGTGCCGGCGCTTTGTGAGCGCGAGCGAGCAGAAGGCGGCAGCAGCAGCGCGGGCGGGCGGGGGGAAAGTGATGCCGGTTTTAAGCGGACGTGCGGTCGCGGCTCGGTGGGGAGTCGGTGGGGGGTGGTGGCTACTACCCTGTCACGGCACCGAAATCACACATCTGAATTTGAGATGCAGGTACATTTCGGTAGAGGTGCAGCCCTGCAATTGCTTGCTCACGCCACTGCTGGCAGAATGTATGTTGGACTTCTTTCGCACCGTGCGTAGCCATCCGTGCCAATCGGAGATGCGTGGGAAGGACAGCAAACTAACGAAGGCCCTCCACTCGAGGGAACTGCCCTTGAGAGGGTGTTTGGACTCGTCTCCTGGGTTTCAGCTACCCACGATGAGATCATTCTAGATTTGAAGTTTTCGTGACTGCAGGGATCCATACTCTTTGGTTCTTTCGGTAAAGTCACGTAGGTGTAAAATAAATAAAATCACGACGTTTCGGGCGCAACACAAGCGTCCGTCAATTGCCCACTTCAGCAACAATTGTTTCTTGCTGTGCATTTGTTTCTTGCTGTGGTTGTCCCACCTGATGACGGACGCTTGTGTTGTGCCCGAAACGTCGTGATTTAATTAATTTTACACCTACGTGACTTTACCGAAAGAACCAAAGAGGATGAGATCATTTTTCTCAGGTTTAGGGAGGGGATGCTCTCAGCACAGTCACTAATGACTGCACAAGAAAACCAGCATATGAAATGTTAACGTTTGACTTCTTTCTGCGTATTCTGGCCGTGGGGACTATAAATGTTGATCTGTCACGCCGGAGTACTATTTGCAGGGCACATAAAAAAAGGTGCGTAACCTTGCGTGGACACTGCAACACGGTCACCCATAATGCAATGTGCCAGGAACATTTTACAATTTTACTTTCAATACAAATTAGTTAATTTAGTTATACTTTTCGACTACATGTAGGGTTTGTCTTACTCCTTATCTACTAATTGATAACTTCAAATGCCAATTTATAAATGCTCCCTCAGAAACATTTGAACAACTTTATTTCTCATCAGGCCTCATGTTGTCCACAAGTGCAGTCTTCAACTCTTCTTCACTTGTCCAATTATATTTTATGAATAAGGAGCATTATCTCTTATTACGTTTTTCTTTGAAGGCCACGACGTACGTGTTGAATTTTTTGTTTAAGTCAATAAGAGCTCATTTAAAGTAACTCCCGAAGTTGTTCCGTGGCATCCTCCGGGGTTCGTTCCCTGACAAGACGCGACATTACACCCCTCGCCGAGAGAGTCCTGGCAGCGAATCTCGTCCACTCGTGACACGACATTAATAGCACGATATCAGTATCGTGGAGATAAAAAAAGCCAATCAACATGCACAGTATTCCTATAGCGCACTTCACGTCAATAAACCAGTCTCAGAACCATTTACACAACATTTACCTGAATGCCCAATACTCGGAATGTATCATTTAGAAACCATTTAGTTAAACATACCAAGTGCACCCTAGGCAGTATAATATAACACGAATAAAAGCTTTTTCTTGGTTATTTCGGTAAAGTCACGTAGAAGGGAAATAATAAAAATGAAACATAATAAAATAAAATTCTCACGACGTTTCAGCCACAACGCAAGTAGCCGTCCTCAGGTGAAGAAACAGGGCTATCGGAAAGACAGCGTTCTGTTGGAAAGACAGAACGCTGTCTTTCTGACAGAACGCTGTCTTTCTGACAGAACGCTGTCTTTCCGACAGAACGGTGTCTTTCCGACAGAACGCTGTCTTTCCGACAGCCCTGTTTCTTCACCTGAGGACGGCTGCTTGCGTTGTGGCCGAAACGTCGTGAGAATTTTATTTTATTATGTTTCATTTTTATTATTTTATAATTTAAATTCTACGTGACTTTACTGAAAGAACCAAGAAGATGAATCCCTGCAGTCACGAAAGCTTTAAATCGAAGAATAAAAGCTTGTTGGTCTCCACTCGATCATTGGATAATTCGTTGATCCCTTGACGTCGATGCAGGAGAACGTTGGCCACGCGTCCACGTGCAACTCGGTGGGTCAGACGGCCGGCTACTTCCTGGGCAACGTGCTCTTCCTGGCGCTCGAGTCGCCCGAGTTCTGCAACGCGTACCTGCGCTTCTCGCCACAGCCCACCGGCATCGTCACGCTCGCAGGTGAGGGCTCCGCGTGTGCGCGCTGGCGAGGCTCCCGTGCAGATCCACTGCTGGATGAAGACCTCCCCCGCACCTCTTTGGCCATGAAGACCTCCCCCGCACCTCCTTGGCCACGAAGGGTTGTTTGGCCACCCTTCGGCACGCTGGGCAGTGCGGACTGGTGAGGGGCATCGGCAGAATCACTGACGTCAAACGAGTTAATAATGCTGTGCGCTTACTACTTCGGCGTATCCGCTTCACTTCATCATCATCATCATCATCACTATCCATGGGCAGATAGCCGCCCGTAGGTGTCCACTGCAAATTTCATCATTTTTTTCCACTTTCCTGTCTTGTGCCAATATGCTCACGTAGTGTACATCTTTCTGGCACCAATCTCCTATGTCGTCGTCGTCGTCATCAAGCTATTGTCTGTTAGCTCTTCCTCTCTTTCCGGTTCCTTCCATTTTTCCGAACAACGCACTTTTAATGTTCCTGTTGTTGTCCATCCTACACGTGTGTCCAATTAACGCCCGTTTCCTTCTCATCACTGCCTGCATCATCAGGTATTCTTCTACGTGTAACCTCTCAATTACTTCTACGTTAGTCAATCTTTGGGTACACTCTACTTACAAAGTTTAAAACAACTATGCTCTTTTTTTATTTACTTTGTTTTTAGTGCATGCGTTAGACAAATTGGACACTCATTTTATGGGCACGTGTGTACACATTTTTTTACATCCTCGTAATTATCCAAACAATCTTTACTCAAACGCACGCCGCCTCGCGGCAGTTGACCGCTACCACGGAGGACGACGCGGCGATCCCCGGCGGAAACCAAAACGTACGAGCGTCTCGCTCCCCCCGCAGACTTCCTGCACTTCTGGGGCCTGGTGTTCCTGGTGAGCACCACGCTGGTGGCGCTGCTCAAGAGCGAGCGGCCCGACGGTCACGACGAGCAGGCGCACGCCGGGGGCGTGGGCGTGCTGGCCACCTACCGCCAGCTGCTCTCCATCGTGAAGCTGCCCAGCGTGCGCACCTTCGCCATCCTGCTGCTCACCTGCAAGGTGCCGCCGCCGGACAGCCCCGGCCTCGTGGAGGCCCGTGACCGGTTACAATATTTACACCATTGGAACCTCATTTGCCAGTAAAAAATATGATAATAGTTGTTTTACCTTCTTCTTGGTTCTTTCAGTAAAGTCACGTAGAAGGGAAGTAATAAAATAATAAAAATAAAACATAATTAAATAATTCTCACGACGTTTCGGCCACGACGCAAGCAACCGTCCTCAGGTGAAGCTGGGTTGGAAGGGGGGGGGAAAGGGGGCGCCTTGACAAAATAATTTGCATATCAAGAGGAATTTAGCATATTTATGGAAAATGTAGGTATGTGATTAGTACTACTTGTGTCCGTGCATTATGCAGGATTAGCAGCATCCAAGGGAGGGGATATGACGCCAAAAGGCGCACTTTTGGCGTACTTTAGGCTCTAAAGAAAGCTGTCTCGGGTGTGGACCAATCAACTTCAAGGACAGTGCATACATTATTAGAGTTATGTTTTTTGTTTGCATTCCGACTGCAGGTATTGTGGTCAATGCAAACATGACTCCTTGTAAAAAAAGGTGTCAGTTTTGTTGCCAGATAAAAGGGTAAGAAACAATTATCGGTTACAATATGTTGCCGCTTATTGGTTGCGAGCGGAAATCGAACCCGGGTTGCCGGGATCCTGGTGCAGCGCAGCGCTAACCACTGCGCCGCTGCTCCCCATCGCTGATGGACAATTACGCACAATCACTGAACGCTCTTGTTTACACGCAACAACAACAACCAACAACCGCCATTCGCCACTAAGTGGCGGTGACGTCACCACGACGCTTTACACGCACACTCACTATGACACACATGCCCTTGTTATTATATATATACCAAGGCCGTAGCCATGGTGTAAACATTGGGGAGGACCAAATCTTCCAGGGGGTCTGGGGGTCCTCCCCCTGAAAAAATAATCGAAATTTGAAAACGAATTTCCTGCCTAAAATATTAAAAATTCACTAACACATGGGATGGACTTTTTCTTAATTTTTTACAAAAATGTCTCTGTTTTTTTTTACCTTTTTTTTTACCTTTTCTTGTTTCATTGTATGTAATGGCAGAGATTAGGGATACATAAAATTCAACCATAACCACAATCATATAAACAAAAATCTATTTTATAGCAATATATTGGGGGGAACATTTTGACCATATTTTATATATATTATAATTACGGCCTTGATATATACAGTGATTCCTTGGCAACCGCGAGGGTAAGGTTCCTGAAAGCCCTCGCAGTAGGTAAATTCGCGTTTGGTAAGGTACAGGGGCCTATGGGAAATAGCAGGTGAGGGGAGCCACGGCCGCGGTCAGACTCGTCATTGCTTCACGAAGTTGCCTCTTTAGTCAATAAACACCGAATGAAATAGAGTACATTACACGAGAACATAATAAAACATAAATAAACATTAACTTTGCACACCTTTTAATATTAACGACGATGATGGCAATGAGACGATAGGGGAAGGGCTGGTTAAGAGGAGGAGGAGGGGCTTAGCCCAGCCTCTTCCTCCCGGCCACAAGTGCAGCTCACTCTCATTCATCACTCGCTGCATGCGTTGGGTCCACGATGAAGGGCACAATGAATATGCACTGTGCAGTGTGTACTGCGCAGTGTGTACTGTGCAGTGTGTACTGTGCAGTGTGTACAACAAGGCAGATGGGCAGCTGATCAGCTAAGCAGCGCCACAGCCCGCAAAATTTGCAACAATGACATCATGCAATGCAATGATGTCATGCTGTAATGATGACGTAATAACAACATGAACACCGTCCTTACCCCTGGTTACTACCCTGAGTTGCCTCGAGTCTCGCGAGAGTCTGCGACACACCATGGCGGATGCGGCAGCGCTCATTTTGATTTCGCAACTCGGCGCGACTAAACGATTCGCGGATCACTCAAACCGAGATGCTCGCCGTTGGTAAACGGGCATACAGAAGTAAATATGCGTATACTCAAATCTCGCGGTGGTTAAGCAAGTATACAGAAGTACATCCGCATGTACTCAAATCTCGAGGTTGGTAAATTCAGAGTTGGCAAGGTTTATTGTATATACACACACACCAAATTGCCGACATGCACGCACACGATTGCGACACGCACGTCACTTTACGGAATGCGCTCGGCCGTTGCCGCGGTTAGCGAGGCGATAGCGTTGCCGTGGTAAGCGAGGCGATGGCGTTGCCGCGGTAAGCGAGGGTGTCGCTATAACGTCGCTGTCGCCTCCGCTGCCTCCGCCGCCCAGGTGGGGTTCTCGGCGGCGGACGCCGTCACGGGGCTCAAGCTCATCGAGGAGGGCGTCCCCAAGGCGCAGCTGGCGCTCCTCGCCCTGCCCATGGTGCCCCTGCAGATCGTGCTGCCCCTGCTCATCAGCAAGTACACGGCGGGGCCTCGCCCGCTCGACATCATGCTCAAGGCCATGCCCTACAGGTGGGCACTCCGCCAGTCACCGCCACCGAATCTCTCCGCGTTTTGCCGCCACGCCTGAATGGCTGCTCCGAGATAGATAATGGTGTTAAACCCTAAACGGGTGGAGGCGATGTCGGCAATTTGCTTTTGATAATAATATCGTCGAAGGAGCTAGGGGAAGAAAGGGATTTCAAAGCCTTGCCCGTTTCACGAATAAGCCACTGCCAGAGCGAGTTTCATCTGCTACTGTGAATCGTTTGAGCAGCGTTAAGTCCTGGGCGTTTGAGACTGTTATGCGCTGGCTCCGTCACTGCAGATCAAGTCTCTCAAAGTGGAGTCAAAGCATCTCTCTGCTCGAATGAGCCCGGGGCTCCTCTCACCGTTGATGGTGGTGGAAATTCCATATTCCTGTGGCCATTCCAACTCGAATTGACTTAACAAGAATGAATACTTAACTTATTGATGCTGATTCCGAGTATGTATGTTGAACTTATTTCGCACTGTATGTAGCCAACCGTGCTAATCGGAGGTGCAGGGGAAGGACAACAAACTAAACATAAGAATCTGTTCTTAATAGACTGGTATTCAATCTAGGTGATTTAAAAGTGCATTGCTCCAGTGGCTTCCTAATATAGGAAGGAAGAGCGTTCCAGACGGCCGCAGAAGCGCACTTGAAAGCGCATCTTTATTGGTAGCGTTACTCCGAACCCATCGCTGGAACACAGACCCCGAGCTGCCTGCCACGTCTGAGCGCTAACACGGCCAACGGTGCCCCCGTGAGCCCTAACGCAATCGCTCTTGCCGGACGCAGGCTGCTCATGGGGCTGGGCTTCGCGCTGCTCGTGTGGTGGACGCCCAGCGTGAAGACCGAGTCCGGCTTCCCGTCGTACTACTATGGCATCATCCTGCTGGCGTATGCCCTGCATCAGGTGAGAGCCCACGCCGCGACCCCTCCCCCGCGACCCCTGCGCCGTGACCCCTGCACCCCCCTCCCCCGCGACTCCTCCGCCGCGACCCCCTCCCCCGTGACCCCTGCGCCGTGACCCCTGCACCCCCCTCCGCCGCGACCCCTCCGCCGCGACCCCTCCGCCGCGACCCCTCCGCCGCGACCCCTCCGCCGCGACCCCTCCCCCGCGACCCCTCCCCCGCGACCCCTCCCCCGCGACCCCTCCCCCGCGACCCCTCCGCCGCGACCCCTCCGCCGCGACCCCTCCGCCGCGACCCCTCCGCCGCGACCCCTCCCCCGCGACCCCTCCCCCGCGACCCCTCCCCCGCGACCCCTGCGCCACGACCCCTGCGGCCCCCTCCCCTTGACCCCGTGGCCCCCTCCCTCTGCCGCCCCGGCACAGGTGGCCGTGTACAGCATGTTCGTGGCCGTGATGGCGTTCAACGCCAGGGTGAGCGACCCGATGATCGGCGGCACCTACATGACGCTGCTCAACACGCTGTCCAACCTGGGCGGGAACTGGCCGGCCACGCTGGCGCTGTGGATGGTGGAGCCGCTCACCAGCAGGGCGTGCGCCGGCGCCACGGGGCTCGCGTGCGACTCGCCCGGCGACGTGCAGGTGCGTGCGTTTGTCTTTGTGTGTCGGCGTGTCTCGGTGTGTCTGTGTGTGTCCGAGGTGTGGTGCTGGCCACCCATCCCCTCGCGTGCTGTGCCGGCCGTCATAGGTGCTCGCTAACAGCGCTTGCCCCAGCGGTCTGTGCACGCTATATGGGGGATTTTTGTCTTTATGTGCATGTCTCCATGTATGTACAAATGTGTGTTGGTGTGCATAAATTGACTTGAAGTATTTCTGCAATACTTCAAGTCATCATTGTGCCATTCTCTGGCACAATGATGTGTTGCTGTAATTCTCAAATTAAAATGTATTCACCTCCGACGCCGACTTCACAATTGTAATCATCGGCGTAGCGCGGTTGGAACGGCGGCCCTGGTGCTAGGGCCCCGTGCCTTGCGCCCCATTTGGCCCCATGGGCCCCGGTGCAGGTGCACCGCCTGCACACTCGACAGCTACCCGCACACACACAGGCTTTACAATTGTAAAGATAGGTGACGATAGTTTTGCCAAAACCACGAGGTTGTTGTAGTATGGTTTTATCCACAATAGAGGTTTTTTGGGGGGTTAGATCGCTTAAATATAAATGCGCCGTTCAACCCGCCACCACCCGACACAGCCGACTGGTAAGGTTTGTCACGTAAACAGAGCGTGCCAGGTAGTTACTAGTTCAGCACACCGCTTGTGTGTTGGAGAGTAAACCCACAACTTGTACGCGATCTAACCTCTTTTATAGATAATATTGCTTACGGAAGTCTACGTGTTAAATTGTACTCCTTGGTTTTTTCGGTAAAGTCACGTAGGCAAAAATAAAGAAATGAAAAAACAACAACAAAAATTCATTTATTTATTTTACCTACGTGACTCAGTGGCGGCTGGTGATATTTATTTTTGGGGGGGCGCATTTTTTAAATTTTATTGAGGGGGGCAAATAAATATAAAGCAGTACCAAAAGCCATTTTGACTACTTGAATATAAATTTTGATGATCTTTATTTACATTTCAGACCAAAAGAAGTACCAAAAAGCATGTTTCCTACTTGAACATAAATGTTTCTCTTTTATATACATTTCAGACCAAAGTACCAAAAAGCATGTTTCCTACTTGAACATAAATGTTTCTCTTTTATATACATTTCAGACCAAAGTACCAAAAAGCATGTTTCCTACTTGAACATAAAAACGTTAGTTTCATGCTATTATCAATATGGCTGCGGCTACTTTCATGACGTTTGCATTTGTCAGAGAGATGTTTGAGGTCTCTTACCCCCGTCGTTGTCCACAAAACTTCAGTGCCGACACTTTGAAATAAAAGACAGGGAAAACAAAAAAGAGAATTGCTAACATCACATCCAGCCAGCCACCTCCGTTTCTCATAACAAGCGCGGGTGAAGCTTCGTGTGTAGCTTCGTCCTCTGTCACTGGCCTGCTGCTGGATTTGTAAATCGGGTTGGTCCGGTCCGAGATCCTTTATCTTTTTTATTTCTTCCAGTGAAAGCCTTGTGAAAGGGTTTTTTTGTAAATAAATTACAGAATTTGGATGAACTGCTGCCATTGTTTACACAAAAAATTTGATCAGCCTAGCAAGTGTCAAAGTGGTGTCGCCTTCGCACTCGCAGTAGTGGCCTACAGCGTAAATTTGAATGACAGGTGACGAGAACCAATCAGATTGGATAAAATAACATGTATCCAATTCTGATTGGCCAGGGACGCAACGACTTGCGCCCCGAGGAGAATCTTTAAGAAACCAATTAGAGACCAGCTTCAGGTCACATGCTGTCCGAAAATGTAAAGTCTCACATAGACATACATTTGTCCGGCGCCCCGCATAGAACACATTGAAAAACATAGAAAATAGTTGACCGATTAAAGCCAGTTTTTATTAAATGCTGATGCTTTTCTTACTACCAGCCGGCACATCGTATGAAAAAAATATTTTATTTATGTATTTTTATATTAATTTTGTATATGTATATTTCTGGAATATTGATGGGGGCGGCGCCCCTGCGCCCTCTATTGACGAGCCGCCACTGACGTGACTTTACCGAAAAAAACAAATAATATGAATCCTTGCAGTCACGAACACTTCAAATCTTAAACTGTCTCGTCTCGATTTAACTATTTTTTTGCGTTGCACCGTGGGTTCCTGTAACCACTGCCTTCCACCTCGTGGGGCTATTGCATCCCGGTGTTCTGGTCCACTGCCAGGTTGTGGTCACCGCCAGTATGGTTGTTGAACTTTATTTTAAAACCGGCGACAAAATCTATCCTCGGGCCCATCTTGAGTGGCGGGGCCCTGGTGCAGTTGCACAGCCTGCACACTCGACAGCCACGCCACTGATTCTAGTTTTAACCAAAAACCCTCCCCCCACTCGCCCCCCTGGCGTTTGGCTCACTCTAACAAAATGGCGCGTGCGCGGGTCTCTCCGCAGCTCTGCGTGGAGGCGGGCGGCTCGTGCGTGACGACGCGGGACGGCTACTACGTGGAGTCGGCGCTCTGCGTGCTGCTCGGCGTCCTCTGGTGGCTGCTGCTGGGGCCACGCATGAGGAGGCTGCAGCAGTTGGGGCCCTCCGCCTGGCAGTGCAGTCGACAGAGACCTTGACGGAGACGGCGGGGGGTGGGGGGCAGCTGGGAGAGATGGGAAGAGAGGAGGAGCGGAGATCGGAGACCTGGGCTGGCACGGGAGGCGCACAGAAGCTCGCGTAACGCGGGCCCACACACCGTCCCCGCGGGTGGCCTGAGGCCCTGCACTTTGACACCGTGGCGCTGGTGGTGAGCTTCGTTCGCACCTGGATTCTTGCTTTGTAACTTGGCAGCGACCAACCCCTGTCTGAGGCCGTGCGGAGAATCTTGCAGAAGCAACTACTGTCTGTACCTGGAAATCTGGCAGCAGCAGCTTCTGTCCAATGGCTTCATCTACGATGCCTGATAGAAGGATAGAAGCAACGCAAGAAGTGTGAAACCCGGTAACAGCAAATTCTGTCCGAACTTTGACAGAAGTAACTTCAGTCTTCACGTGGTTGTGCCATGAAATCTATCGTCAGCACAACAGCTTGTGTTTGAACCTGGAACTCACCATGTCACGCGGAGGCAATAAGTTCTGTCTGCACCAGGATTCACTCTCGCCAGATTTATGAATCTCCTGCCATCATGCCCGGCCTCGGTGACCTCTCCGCACTTACCACTCTTTTCGCAGAAGTATAAAGGAAGCCGTTACATGTCGCATGCACGTAAGCAAAAAGTTTCTCCGCGGTGGGTCATGAGAACTGTGGGCTGAGAATGCCTGGTGTTTAACTACTCAATGTAAGCGCCACGGTAAGTCTCATCCCGTTCACCTGCATTACCTGCAGTGGGGGGTAACCTGGCGGAAATTCATCTCTCTGCGTGGGATAAAGCAATGCACTTGATTACGAATGGATTCTACACCTAAGAGTTGATCTAACTTAAATGTAAATGCCACGTTGGGCAAATAATTTTTCATTGATTAAAGTAGATGGTTATGTTCATGGTACAAGATTTGAATCGTCCCTTTAACAAATTCTGTTTGGTCCATGTTACGTGAAAATGTTACTTCTTTAAGATCGCGTGCCGAACGAGGCAGAACAGACGAGAGACGAGACGGATGAGAAAGACGATACACATGTGAGCTGGCACAGCCGAGATAACAAATAATCCCTTCTTGAATCGAAGTATGAACCTGATTGGTGAGGGTTCCTCCAACCGGGGGGGGGGGGGGGGGGTGAAGGAGAATGCTCGTGTTACGTAAATCTCCAAGACAGGAAGGTGCCCATCATTCTTCCAAGATCTATAAAATAAGTACCACAGTGGTAGTGTGTAGTCTCCCAACAGAAAAATGCAATTTACAGTCGTAGAAGGTTTCTTGTTCTGACCTCAAGGGTTCTCCGTTGTGAGTTTACTGGACTCCAGTGATGATGATGATGATGAAACTGCCACGGAATGTCTCATAAACATCTATAAACTGTTTATTGTGACCTGTCCACAATAGATCAACAAAGTGGCTTATGTGGAAATTTACAGTTACGCTTAACGCATGTTGATTCTAAGTGTGGAGGAAAAAACCGGAAAACCCGGAGTAAAGTCCACGCGACCACAACGAGAACATGCAAACTCCAAATATATTTAGGCGTCAGGGTCGCGATCGAACCCGCAACTTCCTGCATACCAGGCGAGTGAGTTAACATCTCGCCACGGCGGCATGGACAGTCTACAGCCAGCAAAAATATATCCCAGCAAGTGACAAAAACTAAACTCAAGCGGCAAAAGACTTGTGTTTGGGAAGCTTGTAGCTTTTGGTGATTCACTAATTCGCATTGTCTGATTCACGCGCGTACACGCACACACCTTGCAGCAAAGCGGCAGCGGGATAGTGGGTTGCTCAATGTTCGGTGAAGGTCGTGGGTTCGATCCCAATCCTGACGTCTTAATATTTGGAGTTTTTGGTGTTTCTCTCTCTCCCCGTGGTCGGGTGGATTTTTCTCCGGGTCCTCCGGTTTTTCCCTCCACATTCAGAATGAACTCTCGTTCAGAGTATTTGGCGCCTATACATTACCACGTGATAAGCCGCTTAATTGAGCTATCATTTGTGGCCAGGTCGCTTCTGACAAAAGAGCTGTCTAGCTCAGTGGGCCTTACCTGCTAAAATAACAAAAGTAGTTTTAAGTTGCCGAAACATCCGACGCTCGTTCCCACGCCCACCGCAGCCTCCTCCCTGATTGCATGCGCACCGTGTTCCTACAGCGCTCTCTAATCCTCACTGCCGTGAGATTACCGGCATCGTCCACGTGCGCCTGTGTTCAAAGGCTTGAAGCTGCTTTACTTTGTTGTTTTGGGACCAAAAGTGAGCAAGTAAAGCAGAAGTTACAAAGTGTCATCATTAAGCTGTTCTCAAGGGGTCAACACATGGGCAATATTAGTGTCGTTTTTTTATCGTGTTTTAATCAAAGGTGGTGTGCTGGCTGGTTAAATTACATTTCTTCTTTCGTACGGTTACTGATGTCGATGCAGAGACAACAAATACAATTTCACATCCAGGTGGTCAAGCCAGCAGATAACAGCATCAGGAGTAGCGCGGAGTGTATCGCCATTTCCTACGTATTTGTAGATCGGGCGTTGTGTCATTGTATACTACCACAGTCGTTAAAGTTCATGACTTTAGCGACGAATTTCAATTCAAATCGTGTTCGGGGAGGTCGACTCAGCCCATCATCCTTTCAAGAGCTATAAATTAAGTACCATTTTGTTTAAAAGTAAATTGTGCTAATCCCATGGAGAGTCTACCTCTTGCCATGGGATTGTGGAATGGTCACCAGTGGAGAGATGTTTACCACTTTCACCAAATGTTAAATAAGTAATTCCTAAGTGTTACCAACTGGCAGGCATTTGGCCATCATTTATCGAAGACTTCCAGGGCTACGTTGGCCACACACCCCAGCAGCTTGTAACTAGCAAAATCCGTTGTACTGTACTGTTCTCCAATGTCGCATTCACCAACTTGGCACAGGCTGCCATATAAATAACACAACCGGCAATGGATACCAAAAGTCATTTAAATGCATTCATTAATCCCCCCCCCACTTCGCACAAGAAGTGCTCGCAAGTGATGTCATCACATCGACGCCTCTATCTAAGGAACGAAACAGGAGGATTTATTCACAAATCTGGCTGTCGCCTGATGAAGCCAGTTGTAATTACTGGCGAAATGTTGTACTCGGATTTTAAATGTTGTGGCTTGGTTCTCCAACACACCGGTATGCTGTACTAGTGACGAATTGGCACGTTCTGTTTACGTGACAAACCTTACTAGTTGGCTGTGTCGGGTAGTGGCAGGTTTAACGACATTTTCGCGATCAGACCCAAAAAACCTGTATTGTGAACAGGCTAGCATGGTGAAATATGGTCAAATAACCCCCCCCCCCACGGCATACACGTTGTGTCGGGGAGCCCTCATCCATCAGCGGATCGGCAAGGGCTGTGCGTGCACGTATGTGTGGCTTGTGGGTGTCATCGGAAACTCGGTGAGGCTGCTAAGCAGACTCGGTCGAGTGCCGTGCCAGCTGCTGCAATCCAGCAGCTGAGTTCTGCCGCTCGACTCTTGCCCCGCCAGCCACGCTGCACGGGCCCACGCTGCACGTGGTCCACGCTGCACAGGCCCACGCTGCACGGGCCCACGCTGCACGTGGTCCACGCTGCACATGGTCCACGCTGCACGTGGTCCACGCTGCACAGGCCCACGCTGCACGTGGTCCACGCTGCACGGGCCCACGCTGCACGTGGTCCACGCACCGATCCTTGACGGTCGCACTGTTCCGAGCCCACCTCGAGTGTGGCACCGCGGGCAGAGTGAGGCAGCCTGGGGAAGCCAGGGTGCCGCTTCCGCGTGACGGCCGGGTTTCTCGATTGGCGGCGTTGCGGACAAAAAAAACACGGACGGCGTGCGGTTGATGGCGGCGTGGAACTCGCCGCTCGCTCGTTCAGGAACTCGCACCCTTGCGGCTGGTGGGGTGGAGCGGTCGGGGCAGTGGTTAGGGCACTGCGGTACAAACCCGGCAAGCCCGAGTTAGATTCCCGGCCAAAGCTAACGTCAGCGGTGACTGCCATCGGAATCGGTCCTGGGTGCACGCCCCCCCTTCAGCAGCTCGTACTGATGAGCGCATTGAAGTCCGGTCGAACGCCCCCCCCCACGAACGACATGGAATCAGAATATTTACACTGGAGGAATCTGATGGGCTATAAATATATTTTTTCTTAGATCTCTAGTAGTTCACAGATGCCCAGAAAGACACAGTGTGGGGGGAAAGCCTTCGTGCAGCAGTGGACTGACAAAGTGTGTTGCAGAGTTCACGACAATCCTCAGTGTGGGACCTGAAGCATTACTTTCCTTCTGTTTACTGCTATGGTTTTACAGTTTCAAAATCATTCCATACACCGATGGCGTTTGATGTTTATAGACTAAAGATCTTGTCCTTTTTGGGAATCTTACATGTAAACGAATCTGTTTTATGCTCGTGTATGGCAATGTGTTGAGGGGCTAATGCCGATGTCGAGGTGTGCTCGCCACCAGAAGACTTCAGGAGAGTTGTTTTAGTTTTTTGCTCTTCCCCAAATCTATGTAATGGGTTATTGTTATAAATGCCTTACTACTAAAGGCATTGGTAACTCTAATAATACTTGGCTATGCGTTAAGGCGGCAGTGGTTCTCAACCGGGGGTACGCGGATCTCTGGCGTTTTGTGAGGTGATTTATAAAGTTTGAAATTAAATCATACTTGAGAGTCATTGGTGAACAATCATGTATGAATCTACCAATATGAGATAACTACAATAACATTTAATCCATGTGGTAAACTCTAGCGATATAAAGACCTTTATAAACTCATTGATCGTACACAATGTGGTTGCCAGGAGTAGCCAGCGAGCGCGAACAAATCACTTCACGCATGAAGAGCGTCCGTTGACTTTGTTTTTATTCGCTTGCAGTTCCTAGCTAGTTCGGATACCTAAAAAAAATGACAATCGGTTAAAATATTGACGTTCAATATTCCTAAGTTTGTTTCTCAGAACCACGTTGGAGTCCAGGCAATGGGCTGCTTGTGGTTGAAACACAATTCAACAATGGGGGGGGGGAGAGGGGGTACAGTCGCCAACAAAAGGTTGAGAACCACTGCCGTGAGTGACAGACCATCGCTGCCAGAGCCACTTTGCAAGTCGCCTCCACGTGGCAGTCGATTTCGGTCGAGTCGTTTGGAGGGGAGGGCGGTGGGGGGGGGGATGTCGTAACGCCGCCCGTGACACTTTGGGCGGTCGTCCGTCACGATCCGATCGTCGTCTCGCGCCTTCCCACGAGCGAACGAGCGCGGCGGGGTCCGGGCCGCGCTTGGGCCGTTCCCGCGGGGTCCGGGCCGCGCTTGGGCCGTTCCCGCGGGGTCCGGGCCGCGCTTGGGCCGCTCCCGTGGCGTCGTCGAAAGTTCGCGGGCAAAGCGCTGCCGGTTGAGGACAGGGCGACGACCTTTGGCACCCGGCGGTGCGAAGCCCGTGTGAGCAACTTTGGTGAATCAAGATTTGCAAAAGGTTTACACGGGTGAGGAATGTTATTTAATGTTTTATATATAATATATATAATGCTTATGCTGGAGGGATTATGAAGCGATGCATTGTAGAAAAGTTGTAGATTATTTAATAATTTGAAACAGCCTCTCACGCGTCGTGGCGATGGGCGTCTGATGACGCAATAATGGCTCGTGACCAATCGATTAATGGTGATTTGCTTATCGATTAAATTGCGTCACATTGGTTACTATGTAGTTAGTAGTTAAAAAAACAATCAAATGCCAAATTGGCAGAGCGATTAAAACAACGGTTAGGTATTTGCCAGCTGCAGACTTGTCGTTCGCAACTAAAAAACAAAACCATTATCTTTGGTCCTCTTCTCCAGGGGCTGATGTGAGCGTCAGAATATTGACGGATCTCACATCATATTCTTGGTTCTTTCGGTAAAGTCACGTAGAAGGGAAATAATAATATAATAAAAATATAAAAAAAAAATTCTCACAACGTTTCGACTGCAACACAAGCAATCATCAGGTGTGAAATCCACAGCAAGAACATTTTTAAAAAACGGACAAACCGCCACCTTTTTTCAAATTTTCTTGCTGTGGATTTCACACCTGATGATGATTGCTTGTGTTGCAGTCGAAACGTCGTGAGAATTTTTTATTGTTTTATATTATTTTGTTATTTCCCTTCTACGTGACTTTACCGAAAGAACCAAGAATATGAATCCCTGCAGTCACGAAAGCTTTAAATCGAAATTTGGATCTCACATTCTTCAGCAATATCACAGCCACGGGCCACCCTGGCTGCTACTTTATTGAACTTTCCATTCATTCTTGGCAGGCAGAGGGGGGAGGGGAAAGTCTGCGGGCCGGGGGACGTTTTGTGTCTTTAAAGGACCCCCCCCCCCCCCCGTGCGCCACCGTCTCGGGCTGCGTGGAGTTTTGCTCAGATGTGCCGGCCGCGTGTGCTCCGTGTTGACACTCGGCCCGGCTCAGGGTACACGTTCCTCATATTGCAGTCTTGATCGATTACCCGCATTAGAATTATTGTAAGCAACAACAACAAAAATCTGAAATTGCCGTGTGCTCTTTGAGCGTCGCCTTTCTAATCAATCGCATCACAAATGTAGTTGCTGTTGCAGTTTTAATTTGCAGTCGCGTTTCTTGTTGAAGTGTCGCGTCTCCGTCGTTTACGGCTGCCGTGTGTCGCCCCGCGTCGGGCTTGAGAACGAATTCAGCAAAGGGGATCGACTCTCTTTCGTCAGCTTTAATCGCGCATTGCGAAATTATTGCCGTGGTTTTTTTTGTTGCTGCTGTTGCGGGAAACACAAAGCCCCTCCGCGCCTTACCGGCTTTGTGTTGCAGCTGCAATTTTACTTAATTGTTTGATCCGCCACCTCCGAATCTCACGGTTGGTTACGTACGGTGCGAAAGAAGTTCAACATACATACACACGTACGACACACTCCCCTTCCTCACGACGAACTCTCACGGCGAGCTGCGAATGTTAACACTCATCGTGTGAGATGGCGTCACGGGACTCCTCGCGAAGACATATATCGATCGGCAAGCTCCTGTCACCCCACCACGTCCTGCACTTTGCCCGTACGCCCAGCAAGGACAGTTTGTCGTCTGTGGAAAGCAATGCCGTGTCGTCGTTGAGTGCTGGAACTTCGCCGATATGAAGCGACGAGCTGAATTGTTTTCATTTCGTGCTATTCCTCGGTGACTTGAGGTTGAGACCATCGTTGGGCTGCACTTGGTTCCGTGGTCTATTTACGGGTGGCTCAAATTGGGATTCTGAACTCGGGATCCTCAGCAGTGCCCATCGTGGAGTGCGAGCCACTCGGCTACCCCCCCCCCTTCTACCCCGTGTTGATTTTTAATGTTAGAAACGGTGACGGAAAAAATGAATCGCCGATGCACGCACACGTGTGCATCGGAGTGGCCTTTTGAGACGTTTTGTCTAAAATAATAACAATAATCATAACTTTTTAAAGTCGATTGCTGACCCATGTCAGCCTTGCTGGGTGAGTTTACTCTTAGTACCGTTAACGTAAATGTAGGAACTGGAAATGTAAAGTGCGGGGTTTGAATAATAATAATGCGTGCTGCTTCATGCTTCTTTTAATACCATAGCAGGCTTGTAGAGGCAACACGAACTGCTGAAGTGCCCTGCGGTAGCAAAGCAGTTCATTGTCGTGTTCGAGTACCTGTATTCGTGTAAACCAGCAGCAATTAAACCACAAGATAATTTATTTAAAGGGGTTTGTATCGGCCTATAAGGTGGTTGGTATGAATTTAAAAAAACCCGCAAATCAAATTGATGTACGTCTACTCGTAACGACCCGTTTGTGAACACTTGAAAACTCGATCGAGTTTGTACGCAAGTTGAAGGAAGCTACAGTATTTGAAAAACATGTTCTGTAAAACGTGATTAAAACATCGGCTCTGAAGTGGTGAATCCGATTGCCGTGTGTGTGTTGATGTTGTTGACTTCTCGGGGCAGGCCTGCCGCTGTACCTGCCTGCCAGAGGTCGCAACCGGGTACCCGATACCCGTACCCTACCCGATACCCGGCTACCCGTACCCGGCCGGGTACGGGTAGCCGCTTGCGACCCTGGTGCGGCCGGGTACGGGTACGGGTAGGCCGTGAGTCACTGGTGAGTAGCCGTTGGTCACTCATTTCGGGTAGGGTACGGGTACCCATTTGCGACCCTGGTGCGGCCGGGTACGGGTAAGGAATTAAAACCCGTTTGCGACCTCTGCTGCCTGCTGATGCTACTGCCGCCGTCTCTGCGATTCGTGCACTGTGATACGGAACACGCAGAAGGCTGTTTCTGGAGGAGGAATCCGATGAGCTGTGATGCTGTTTTTAATTCACAGATATCCCAGTCGGGGCTGGTCAGCGAGCTTACAATAGCAAACGATACAAAAAAACGATGGGAGTGCCAAAGTAAAGAAAATGGTAAACAAGTCACTAAATAGAAATAAATAATGATTTCATTATGGCATGCGTCAGATTTATCAAGCTTGGGCAAGGCAGCTAAAACGACAAAACAGTCCCAGGCCACCAAGATAAGACAGCAGCCCCTCAATAAATCACACGAACATTGAACTATCGATACACAGGTAAGGAATCAAAGTATCCAATCCCGTTAGGGGCCGTCCATAAATGACGTCACGCACCTAGGGGGGGGGGGGGTGGTCAGACATTTGTGACGATGTGTGACGAGGGGGGGGGGGGGTTTGAGAAATGTGACGTCACATCAAAATTCGCAACTTTAAATAAATTTAGACAACACGTTCTACTTAATTAAATAGACTTTTTAATAAATGTTTTCTCTTACAACATCAGAGTGCAGCGCCACATTAAATACGCACTACAATGACATAGTTTAAAGCGATTTGAAGCATGTTTTATTTTTTGGGGAGGGGGGGGCAGAGCTTTGTGACGTCATTTTTGAGGGGGAGGTCTGACTTTTTGTGACGCCGTGTGACGAAGGGGGGGGGGGGGGTCAAATCGTCCAAAATCGCGTGACGTCATTTATGGACGGCCCCTTAACTTCTGGGCGGTCACGCATCGGTGGCAAGCGGCGTGGGAGCCTGAAACGAGCACCTCGTGCTGTGTGGTCACCGCCAGCACGAGTGGGGGGGGGGGGCAGGCAGCCTCAAGGTCGGGGCTGGGTGCAACCCGTGTTTTACTTTCACGTGCCATGCCATCCTTAATAGGTGCTCGCTAACAGCACTTGCCCCGAGTGGTTGTGTGTATGTGTGTGAGTGTGTATGACATTCTTCCACTCCGGTGGTGGGTGTACTGTACACCCAGGACCCCATTCCAACATAAAGTGGCCTGGTCTCAGCTGATGAAAGTTGCAAGCGTGAATTTCATCATCGCTTGCGGCTGGGGTTGGCATCGTCCCCCACTCCTCCTGAAGTCGAGGGTAAATGGGCGAGGTTTAGGACTGTGACTCATGCAGCGGCAATGGCTGCTTTGGGTACATGGTCCAGACCTTTTTAGAGACCCTGGCTGACAAGAGGAGGTGTTCAGGATGGTTGAGAAAAAGCGACAGGCCCACTCTCATCTTCTACAGCATCCCACATCAGATAATGAGGAGGCTTACCGCAGCCTTCGCTCGGAGGTTCGGAGAGCCGTGAGGCGCTGCAAGGATGGGTGGTGGTCGCGGGTTGCTGAGGAGATGGAGTCTGCCTCAGTGGCCCACGATCACAAATCACTATTTAACTCCATCAAAAAAGTAACCTGCAGCACCATACCTATTACCATCATTAGGGGAAAAAACGGTGATCCTATCTTCGACTCCCAGGAACAGGTTTGCAGATTTGCTGAGCATTTCTGTGAGGTCCTGAGGGAGGGGAAATCCCTCAGCTAGGAAAACAAGTGGCACAAAGTGGGGATGACCCTGCTGAGGCTGCGGTGCCTCAAATATTGGAAGAAGAAGTGACCCCCTGTGAGTGGCTGGCTGAGGTGCCATCTGTTGAGGAAGTACTGAAGGCGATCCGGAGTCTGAGACCAGGAAAGGCACCGGGCAGAGATAATCTCCCAAGCGAAATGCTGAGGGAGGGTGGCGTTTGTGCACAGACTGCCCTACATGACATCATAACAACAGTCTGGACCACTGGACGGGTTCTGCCCTGGTGGTCCCCCTCTGGGGACCGCACAGACTGTAATAACTACAGGGGCATCTCACTCCTCAGTGTGCCGGGAAAGGTCCTGGCAAGGATTATTCAACATCGCCTTGCTAGGCACGCTGAGGAGAGGCTTGCAGAGCCCCAATGTGGTTTCAGTAAAGGGCGGTCTTGCACAGATGCCATATTTTCTGTCCGTCTGCTCCAGCAGAGGTGTAGGGAATTCCAACAAGACCTACATCTCTGCTTTATTGAGCTGGTCAAGGCCTATGATACCATCAGTAGGCCTAGGCTCTGGGTTGTTCTTCATGCTTTCGGAGTCCCTAACCCTCTGCTCACGATCATTAAGGACCTTCATGATGGTGAGCGGGCCCGGGTAAAACTACGTGGCCGGGAGTCAGAGCCATTCCCTGTACACCTTGGGGTACGACAGGGATGTCCTCTGGCTCCCACATTATTTAACATCTATTTTGACCACGTAGTTCGTGAAGCCTTCGATAGCTGTACCGGAGGAATTTCCAATTGGTACAGATATAATGGGAGGCTGATCGATGCCCGGGTGCGGTCAAGGGATGGCTCCCTATTGGTCAACCAATTTATGTATGCCGATGATTTGGTAATTGCTGCTCATTCAGAGGAGTTGGAGACGCTGCTGCTGAAACTGGAGCGTGCCACTAAGAGGTAGGACCTTACCATCAGCCCCACCAAAACTAAGCACGTGCCTGGGTATTTTGTACCATCAGACACTCCACCCCCACAACTCCCAATCGGTGATGGGGCAGTTGTGGAGAGAGTTGAACGTTTCCCATACCTGGGCAGTGTGCTCATGACCAGCTCCGGTTAGAAACATTTAGGCTGACCTGCCTTCGATCCATCCTGGGTTTAACCAGGCTGGATTGTGTGAGGAGCTCACAAATCCTTGAAAAATCTGGGCAAAGTCCCATCGGTGAGCTCCTCCGGCGGGCAAGGCTGCATTGGCTGCCCAGCCACAGCATGCCTAAATAGCTTTTGTTCGATTTTTTCTTCTTGGTTCTTTCGGCAAAGTCACGTAGAAGGGAAATAATAAAATAATAAAAATTAAACATAATAAAATCATTCTCACGACGTTTCGGCCACAACGCAATCAGCTGTCCTCAGGTGAAGAACAGGTATGTCGGAAAGACAGCGTCTGAATGTTCGGACAGATAGAGGGGGCTAAACGGGCGCGGCACAGGCTAGAAAAGAGATGGAGTGATGTGGTACAGGACGTGGAGCTGAGTGGACTTGCCGATGACTGGTACCAGCGGTGTCAAGATCGACCTCTGTGGAGGAGGCTCGTGAAGGACACTACTGGGCAGTTGGAGGCAGTCGCCCTCCAACAACAACGGAGGGCGGAGGAGCGACGCTCACAACAACGAGCGGAGCGCCGGGTGGCTAAAGCACAGCAAGTTGGCACAGTAGGGGGCACAGGTGGTGCATCAGCCAGTCATCTCGGTTATCTCAGTCAGTCGACCCGTGGCACCTGCTGGGTCTGCCCCGTGACCTCCTGCCAGCGAGCGTTCGACACTTCACGTGGCTTCAAGGTGCACATGGCCTGGCACAAGCGTCGTGGTGACGTCACCGCCACTTAGTGGCGAATGGCGGTTGTTGTTGTATGTAAGTGTGTGTGTATGTGAGTGTGTGTGTATGTATGTGAGTGTGTGTATGATTGTGTGTGTATGAGTTTGTGTTCGCAGTTAGGAGCGGTCGTGTAGCGGTTAGCGCGCTGCGCTACGAACCCGGCGACCCGAGTTCGATTCCCGCTGACGGCCACCACCAGTGACTATTTTCTGATCCGGTCCTGGGCCTCTCCTAGGTCGACTCAGCCTGAAATGAGCACCTGGTGCGGTGTGTAAATATCGCCACTGGGAAGACAAAGGCGGTCGGGCGTGGTGCTGGCCCACCCACCCCCTCGTGTGCCGTGCCGGCCCTTCATAGGTGCTCCTCGCGAACAGCACTAACAATCTCTTTGTCTTCGGTGCTCAAATGAGGTGTGAGGTGGTGCAGCAGCCACGAGTTTGCGTTCCACCACGAGCCCTGGGTAGACGCCTGCAGATCGTGGAGGCTGGACCCGTAGCTCTACCATTGCAATGGGGGTACAAAGATCGCTGTCCCGCAGCTATCGTAACAAAGTTTTTTTTTCTCCCGGGGTCATGGTGAAACGACCTCGCGACTAAGCACAACGTTCTAACGCCCTGTCAATAGAAATGTTGTGAAATATCCCGCTTATTTTTACTACAAAAAAAACGGAGCCTCCATCCACAGCGGGGGGACTTGACGACTTGGCTGTCGGCAAGATTTAAATGATGAAATAAAATATTTTTGTTATTGGAAAATCAAAAGTGTTTTTGTTTGTTTGTACAAGTGCTGTATGTACGGTGCGAAAAAAGTTTCACATATATACGTAATTTTTATTGTTTTATATCTATATTATTTTATCATTTCCCTTCTACGTGACTTTACCGAAAGAACCAAGAATATGAATCCCTGCAGTCACGAAAGCTTTAAATCAAAACACATTTCTATTTACGCGATCGAACGTAAAATAAACGACGTCTTACGTGGGCTTCTGTTGTGTTTGCTTTGTCATTTCTCTCGCGGTTCACTTCACGGAAAGGGCAGGCGTCGTCACGGTCGAGACTGTGACACCCACGGACCCCACCTCGCCCAACACCTCCAGCCTCCGCCCCGCAATTAACACTCCACAAAAGAAGCCGCAGCGGAGCGGTTGGTGCCAGGCTGAGCTGAGCCGCCACCGTCGCCACCGCCACCAACACCGCCACCAATACCACCACCACCAACACCGCCACCACCAACACCGCCACCACCACTACCAACATCACCAACACCACCACCGCCACCACCACCACTACCAACACCACCACCGCCACCACCACCGTCACCACCGTTACCACCACCGCACGCAGCTTCTCCGCAGCTTCTCCATCACACATTCACCGAGACGACTCCCACCACCCACCCACCCACACAATCCCACTCCGCACAAACGACAGCTCCCATCGGCGAGCTGGGCTACTACTGCTGCCGCATCAACAGCAGCAGCAGCAACAGCGATGACAACGACGACGATGTCACTCAGCGTCTCGAGGCTCGCGTGCGACTTTCTGGACCGCCGGCGCACCCTGGCGTGGGCTGTCCTCGCCTCGGCCCTCTCCGTCGTGGGCGAGGTGCTGTACGGCGAGCTCGCCTTCGTGTGTCCCTGCAGACCCGGGGGCAGCAACACCACGGCGGCGGCCGTCGCCGTGGTCGTGCCGTGCGCGCTGCTGTTTCTCGGCGGCTGCTTCCTGCAGGTGGACACGTGGAGGGCGATCCGAGGCTCGTGCCGCTCGTGCTGCGGCAGGAAAAAGGCCGAGGGCGACGCCGAGAGCGGTGAGAGGGATTCGGGCGCGCGGGTGCGCGAAGCTCTTCTCGTCGTCTTTGCCCGAGCTCTGGTGGCCCCGATGTCGTGGGCCGTGGCGGCTCTGCTGAGCGGGGTGTACTACGCGTGCGGCCAGAGCACCAGCGGCTTCGACTGGTGGAAGTACTCCAGCATGAATGGCCTCAAATACCAGGTCGTGGCGGAGCTGCTGTACAAACTTCCGTGCGAGAAAATCCTCCTGTCGGAAGCGATCGACGTGTTGCAGCAAGCAAGCATCCGCAATGAGGTCCTCGCCTCGCTACGCTCCGAGTCGCAGGTAAAACAAGACACTGAGCGGCTGGTGGCATTGTGGGGAGGGGGGGGGCGCCGAGCGAGACTCTGAGCCCGAGGGCAGATGTCCCGTGGAGGACGCTGAACAATGCATAGATCATCCGGGAAGGTCACTTGAGTCGCTTCACTTGGTGCTCGGTGGAAACCAATTGCTGGACGAAACAAAAATGCGTGCAAGTGCTGAGCGCGCATGCGAGTAAGCGGACGATCGGTGCACATTTTTTTTTCAATCTCCGTAGCCGATTAAGAAATGTATATACAGGGTGCTTCAACATTTTTTTAACACTGAAATGCGACTATCGTTTTTAATGGAAAAATAACGGATGATACACTGTAACGTGATAACAAATGTAGGTTAATAGCTTCAAAAAGTCTAACAGTCTCCACTTCATTATCAACGCGTTGCCTGGAATCTTCTCCAGGTAGTCTCCAGAGCCCGGAGGCCACGTTTCTTGTGGTGTCGTTGAAAATTCTCAGAAGTGTTAAAAACAATTTGAAGCAGGAACAGACTGATTGAGTGCGACCGACTTGACCGCGAAATCGCGCACGAAAAAATATTTTAAAAATCCTTATGCAGGCGTGGATTTACATTTAACTCGCTGTTCTGCTGTCGAGGCATAGGCAAAGTCAAAAGCGGCCCACGAATGTATTCGCCGAATCAATTGCGAGGGAGGCACGTGGGGTGAGTCGACTCAACGTCTATCTGATGAAACGATCAGAATAGATTTTTATCCTTTCTGGCAATCCAACAGGAGGTGTTGAGGATGTAATGCATCAAGTCTGTATTAACGACACGTACTTGTGGTGAACATGCAAACAAACGTGCTCTGATAATTTATGTCATTGTCTCTGAAACGGATTGGCCCACACCAGAGACGGCTGCCTTCTTTCTTTAAGTCAACCTCATTTTTGGTCTGGAAATAGACGTCCTCGCCCGTCTGTCCAACATGAAGCTCGCGATTAGCACGGTGCGAAACAAGTTCTAACTGCGCGTCGATACGCGCACTTATGGGTAAGGATGGCTCGTTTTGTTGGGAAGGCCTGCAATCGGCACATGTGACCAATACGTTTTGTAAGGAGCGTTTTGCACGTGCAGAGACAGCAGAGTTCCGCAGAACAGATCGCCTGCGAGCGTGCGCACATCAGGGGTGCCACGGTGCCGAGATGTTAGCTACCTCGCCTGGTGTACATGAGGTCGTGAGTTCGATCGATATTAGAAAGGAGATCAAAGTTTTCAGTTTCTGGAACAAATTCCGCCCGAGTTGTTTCACAAATTGAACTCCCAAAAGCAACGAGTTAAAGAGTAACCAATATGCGCATACCTCGTTCTGCCCGAACCATAAAGCACTGCGGTGCAGAGAACTGGCAGGTGCTGATAACGGCATGCTTTGGTATTTACGGCTCTGCTCCACTGATTGTGCATTTCGATTTAAAGCTTTCGTGACTGCAGGGATTGGTCTTCTTGGTTCTTTCGGTAAAGTCACGTAGCAGGGAAATAATAAAAATAAAACATAATAAAATACAATTCTCACGACGTTTCGGCCACAACGCAAGGACGGCTGCTTGCGTTGTGGCCGAAACGTCGTGAGAATTGTATTTTATTATGTTTTATTTTTATTATTTTATTATTTCCCTGCTACGTGACTTTACCGAAAGAACCAAGAAGATGATTGTGCATTGTATCTGGATTCGAATTGACGGCGCCCATTTCGCCCAGAGTGCCGCGGCATGCGTCGTGTTTGAGGCAACTCGGCAACACGCAGCAGCCACGGCTGCGTCTTGTCGTCTCCCACCTCGTTCGAGACCCAAACGTCGCACCTCCTGGCTTTGACATTCCTCCTCGCAGACACTGGTGGTGCCATCAGCTCGCTCGCCCACTCTTCCCGGCACCCACTCACCCACCCACTCACCACTGGTTTCACCATCAACTCACGCACCCATCCACTCACCCACCCACTCACCCAACCACTCACTCACCCACCCACTCACCACTGGTATAACCATCAACTCACGCACCCATCCACTCACCCACCAACTCACCCACCCACTCACCCACCCATCCACTCACCCACCCACTCACCCACCCATCCACTCACCCACCTACTCACCACTGGTTTCACCATCAACTCACGCACCCATCCACTCACCCACCCACTCACCCACCCATCCACTCACCCACCCATTCACCCACCCATCCACTCACCCACCCACCCACTCACCCACCCACTCACCACTGGTTTCACCATCAACTCACGCACCCATCCACTCACCCACCCACTCACCCACCCACTCACCCACCCACTCACCACTGGTTTCACCATCAACTCACGCACCCATCCACTCACCCACCCACTCACCCATCCACTCACCCAACCACTCACCCACCCATCCACTCACCCAACCACTCACCCACCCATCCACTCACCCACCCATCCACTCACCCAACCACTCACCCACCCATCCACTCACCCACCTACTCACCCACCCATCCATTCACCCACCCACTCACCCACCCACCCACTAACCCACCCATCCACTCACCCAACCACTCACCCCCCATCCACTCACCCAACAACTCACCCATCCATCCACTCACCCACTCACTCACCCACCCATCCACTCACCCACCCACTCACCCACCCACTCATCCAACCACTCACCCACCCATCCACTCACCCACTCACTCACCCACCCATCCACTCACCCACCCACTCACCCACCCACCCACCCACTCACCCATCCATCCACTCACCCACCCACCGACTCACCCACCCACCCACCGACTCACCCACCCACCCACCGACTCATCCACTCATCCATCCACCCACTCACCCTCCCACTCACCACTGGTGTAACCATTAACATCGACAGGCGGTAGCGCACATCTCCTTCATACACCTAAATATCAATGCCGTACGGGGAATTCTGTGAAAGATGCGCGTGTGATTGTGCATGTGAGCCGTGCGTGCGTATGGGTTGTGTGTGTGGGTTGTGTGTGTGTGGGTTGTGTGTGTGGGTTGTGTGTGTGTGTGGGTTGTGTGTGTGTGTGGGTTGTGTGTGTGTGGGTTGTGTGTGTGTGGGTTGTGTGTGTGTGGGTTGTGTGTGTGTGGGTTGTGTGTGTGGGTTGTGTGTGGGTTGTGTGTGTGTGGGTTGTGTGTGTGGGTTGTGTGTGTGTGGGTTGTGTGTGTGGGTTGTGTGTGTGTGTGGGTTGTGTGTGTGTGGGTTGTGTGTGTGTGGGTTGTGTGTGTGTGGGTTGTGTGTGTGGGTTGTGTGTGGGTTGTGTGTGTTTGGGTTGTGTGTGTGGGTTGTGTGTGTGGGTTGTGTGTGGGTTGTGTGTGTGTGGGTTGTGTGTGTGTGGGTTGTGTGTGTGTGGTGTGTGTGTGTGGTGTGTGTGTGTGGGTTGTGTGTGTGTGTGGGTTGTGTGTGTGTGAGTTGTGTGTGTGCATGTGCGTGGCTATGCGGTGTGACGCAACTATCGCGCGAGTTTTGTTCTTGGGGCGCAACGCCCGTCGACGTTTCTCGCCGACGGGCGCCACCGCCGCGAAACCTAACACGGAATCCGTCACCGTCACGGCCACCCCCCCCCCCCCTTCAGCTCGTGGGTCTGGGCCTCCTCGCCGGGCTCGTCGCGTTGGCGGCGCTCACCGTCTGCATCCTCCGGTGCAAGTCTCCGACGAGCGAGCGCGAGGCGAGCTTCGTGGCGCGCTACCGCGCCGTGGAGCGCCGCGTGTTCGCCGACGAGGTGGACTCCCTGGCGCGCGCCCTCGCCGAACAGCAGAGCCGCGCGGTGCTCCTGCACGTGCGCGCCGCCTTCGAGGGCACGGCGGACGAGAAGGGCCGACGCCAGGTGGAGGCGCGCTGGCGGGAGCTGTCCGCCGTGCAGGGGGTGCTGAGTCGGGACGGCGGGCTCAGCGCGCTGCACAGGTGCGCGAACAAGGACATCGAGTTGACGGAGTACGATGACCCCGAGAACGTCTACGCCAATTAGGGAAGGGGTGGACGCGGAGGGACGGAGAGATCGCCCCTTCCTACCCTTCACAAGAGGAAGGTGGAAGCACCCCGCCCCAAGCAATGAGTTACACGAGATCATGTGTGGCGGGAACGTGGCGATGCTGAGCGTCGCCAATCCAGGCCTTCGCTTCTCAACGAGTCTTGTCCGGGTCGCTCGTAGACTGCAGTCGGCATCGTGACTCGTAGCCACAACCATGTTGGGTGGATGCGGTGGTGTGCAAGGCATGGACATGGATAGACCTGGCTGAAATTAAGCCCCCATCTGAACGCCAATGCGCCAACGTGCCCAATTTTTTTTTGTTTTCAATCGGTAGATATATCACCCTCTATGACGTACGCATGAGACACACGGAAACTCGTAATGAATTAAGAAAACATGGGGATTTACATTGGGATGACGGGAAGAATAATGTGTAGGTTAGATAACACGCATAAGTTTAATACATCGGACTGACTACGGATACGAGTAACTGGGATGGGGGACGGAATGGGCTCGTGTGCAGGAGCGAGACGGATTGTGGCCACGCAAGAGATAGGCAACGGCTCGGGAGGCATTCATCCAGCAGTAGATAGGCCATGGCTGATTATTAAAAAGTGATGTGTTCAGGGGTATGGCACTCTCACCGCAGTGATATTAGTCGAGTGTGCTTTTGTTGATGCTACTGGGAGGTGATTTTTTTAATGTCTTGTTTTTACTGTGTAGGGCAGCCCAGGATACACAGAACAGATACAGATCCACCGAAGCTGTATATTTTATTGTGTTGTATCTTCATTTAAATGTGCGAAAGGTGGTTCCTTTCGAACATAAGATTTGTGTGAGTCTTTTTTTCTGCATTATATTCAATTGTGCTATCAGCGTCATGTTACGAGACAAATTAATTTCCATTCTGATCTCTAGCGGACAGTAGTGCATCACGTAGTGCATCACCCTGTGTGATTTAGCAGCCTCTGTAAACTACTCCTGAGATCTCTTCAACCGCCTCTTAACCACAGGAGGGGAACAGCACTTTCTCACGTGCTCATCTTCCCAATTTGTGAAAGGTCAAAAGTGGCCGTTGTCTAGAAATGACCCCTGCCTTAACAATGTCGAATAAGCACAATTTCCTATTGCCTTTAACAGGAATAAGCACCACACCACAGTGATTTGATCTTAAAGGCAATTGTTTTTTACGTAAGACAAAGTCATTGTAAATTACATTGAGGTGTCCTGTGGTATTTACCCTTGCATTTGGTAGCTGTTTCGTGCCCAAGTCTGTCTGTGTTGGACATCTCTGATGATGAAATATAAATTAATGTTGGTCCATAACTAATGTCGGTGGCATAACTCACAAAAATAAAGAATATGGTACAAATTTACAATAAAGTGTATTAATAGATGAACCAAAGTTATTTTCCTGATTTAAAAAGTGGTGTGTACTGCGTTTCTTTGCTCAAACACGTGATGAGTGGGACTCATCTCCACCGGCAGAACTCAGCCAGTGGTGGGAATTCCATATTCCCATGACAGGGGCGACTGTTGTTTCCCCACATAATAGTATTTATTTTATCGGGTCCCCAGGGATGATCGGCGGAGTTTATTCCTCGCTGAAACTTTAACTTACTTCCCAGTGATTGTGAGTGACGCACCCGAAACACGGAGCCAATCGTCAATATGTGCATAACGTGTGGCTTAATTGAAATCATTAGTGATGTTCTGAGACCCAGTGAATGGACATCTTAAGTTCAAGAGGCAACAGAGTGCCAACCACAGCCCCTCTGGCAGTGATCATTACGTCTATGTCCACATGCACCAGCATGAAGCAAAACCCGGGCTGGATGAAGCTATTTGTTATGGATTTGCCGACGAATTAACAATAATGAGTACATATTTTAAAAACAAAAACAGACCACGGATTCAACATTTGAGGAGGGGAGTTGTTGTGCTTATGGTGTCACTCGACCATGTGCTGTCAGCTCACGTTACATGACTTGAGATTCTGTTTCACACAGCAGGTGTGGCCACAACAGGTAAATGGAGAATACAGGTTTTTTTTTTAAACCAGGAATGTCCCACTGAAGCACCCTGGCCACAAATGATAGCCGTTCAACGAAGTCGCTTATCACGTGAAAATACATAGCAGCCAAATACTCTAAACGCATACCATGACAAGCAAAAGCTCGCGAGATGCCAGCTATACATTAATATACATTTTATTTAAACTGAAAGAACCCCCATGAGCTATGAAGAGCAAAACGACAGAATAAACAACCATAAAATAGCAGCAATACTTTATAATAAAAATCTACAACGGGTTCAATTACACTCACACATGTGCAGTTATCACATAAATGCAATCACAGTTGCAACTCACCGTTGCAAATGGGGCTGCAGTTGACATCAATGGCGAGTTTAAGAGTGTTTACTGTTTGGTAAATTCAGCAAATTGAGAGAGGGGATGCAAGGAGATTCCAAAGTGGGGTGTCACAACGACAAACGCTTTGGCTCCAAGTCCTTTATGGATGCACCTTCGTGTTGCCTATGTATGCTAAACTTCTTTCGCACCGTACGTAGCCAACCGCAGTAATCGTAGGTGCGGGGAAGGACAAGAAAATAAATACAAAAAGGAGTACTTTGTTTTGTTTATTCACTTCATGAATAATATACAATACCATATTATATTAACTCGGGCCCATGCCAACCACGCTACAGCGGTGTGTACAGCCATGGTTTATGGGTCACGACGGTGATCCTTTCAAGTGAGTCTTGTTATTAGGATCATACAGTTGTGGGATTATGCCATTGCTATTATTGGGATCGTAATACAGAGATGGAAGGGGCTTTGACAAGCGAGCGACCCCAATTAGCGTCGATCCTCTCTCAACACTTCACATTGCGAAATTAAAAGCGGGCCAGTGGTTAGAAGCAACACTGTACATACTGAAGCTGCCTGTACTGCGACTGCTGGGGAATGGTGTCATTGAAAACACAGCACTTTAATGTGTTGAACTATCCCTCCTGGGCAATTAATCTAAATTGTATTATGGTTGTTATTGTTTGACTTGCATCACACTGGGATTGTTACACACAGCTGTTTAAAAAAAAAGATTTGCTGGTTTATCCAGGATGTTTCTGTTGCGCGTCGTCGCTTTAAGATGTTCTCCGTTCATATTTTGTTTGTTACGGTTGCACCCGACTTAAAAGCCGCATGGCTCACAGGGCTATACCAAATAAATGAAATGAAATAAATGAAAAGACCGTCAAAAGCGTCTCCCAGCGATGACGAGAAATGGGCGGTGCTCAAGTCGATTAATTCCGCGCTCCCTGAGCCAATGGTGTGGAAATTCTAGTGGCTTAGTACGAAAGTAAAACATTTGTATTCTTCTAACCACGTCGCGTCAGTCATGGGGAATTGTTTGGCAATACCTCTCCACGCTGGTCAGTGCGAGTCGGTGAAAGGGTCGGTGAGAGGTAGGACTGCTTCTGATATCACCCACTACCGCTGTTAGTCGTGGCCGAAAAACCAAACTCAACGCTGCGGTGGCGAGGTGTTAACTCCCTCGCCTGTCATACAGGAGGTCGTGGGTTCGATCCCGACCCTTGACGCCTGCTGTATATTTGCAGTTTGCGGTGTCTCTCTCCCTGTGGTCGCGTGGATTTTTTTCCGGGTCCTCCGGTTTTTCCCCTCCACATTTCTAAACGTGCGTTTAGAGTATTTGGCTCCTATGAATTTCCACGTGATAAGTCACTTCGTTTAGATTTCATTTGTGACAACCGGGTCGCTTCTGAAAAATAACTATATAGCTCAGTGGGCCTTACCTGACAAAATTCAGAAAGAGTGATAGTTAAGCTTAACCTTGTGCTCAGACTTAACATTGTATTTAGTGGGTGCATAGGGCAGTGCGCTAATCACTGCGCCCCCCCCCGCCCTAACTACGCACTTAATAGGCAGTAAATAACAAAGCGGACAGCTCGTGTACCAAACTGGCCTCAGCCCTTTACGCGCTGACACAGAACAACGTCGCAGAGAGCCACGCAAGCCCCCAGGTTGGAGAATGCAGCTGCTCACAGGTGCTAAAGGTTGACGAGATAACAACATACCGAGCTGGGAACGGGGCTAATAAACACAGCGTTCTGACGAAAGCGTTATTTGTAGACATGGCAACTTTCCTCCGTGCTCTTAAAATGAGCAGCCGTAAATATAAAGACGTGGTTTTATTTTGTTGCGCCAGCAAGGCTGGTGGTGTTTTGTTTGTTCAGCGAACATGGCGACACTTCTGCTCGGCCCGCACACTTGTTGGGCATTACGTGTTTATTACGCCAAGTTCTGTATCGAGAAACGGGAGATATTCTTTTCATCTGTTTATTCCATCTGCACGGGGATAGAGTGTTGCCCCCTTGCAGGCGCGGGGTTTCTCCAGGTGCTCCGCTCCCTCCCCCACACATGTATATAAACACTCGTCATAAATTGGTTGCAAATATCTTAAAATAAATTCCCAATGTAGGACCCTCCTAAAAAATGTCCTTGGGACAGTGATGCCTTCCTGAATAAGTAATTTTACATTTGTATTATTTGTATTATCAGTGACGGGGCAATTCGAATACCATCAGTTCAACACGAATACAGTATTGTACAAACATGGACGCATAGTGGCTTAAATAACGTGCCTCCACCTGTGGACAAGTGCCAATCCCACATCCACGTCTTGCGCCTTATTCCGCTGTGCCTTGTTCAAATGTTGAATGGATTCCATCCATTCAACATTTGAGTTTCCTGCTTCCAGTCCCATTACCGTCTCGTGATACTTGACTGCAGCGGAGTAATATCCCGAATGGGACGCGCAATATCGGGTTTCCCGCATCACCGCCGATTAGTCCTGTCGAGGAGATTATTCGGTGATTGCGTCATCCATTGGCGTGTGCACACGGAATTCATTTTTTCTGCGACATCTACCCATTAACAGATCATCTTACTGTCTCAATCTCTTTTGCACAAAGGGGTTTCTCGATTCAGTCATGATGATGATGTTAAAGTCAATCACGAAGGTTTTATTTTACCAGGTAAAGCCCCACTGAGCTACGTAGCTCTTTTTCAGAAGTGACCTGACCACAAATGATAGCTCAACGAAGTGGCTCATCACGTGGACATGTATAGCAAACACTCTAAAGGCACGATTCTAAATGTGGAGGGAAAAACCAGAGGACCCGGAGAAAAATCCACGCCACCAAGGGGAAAGAGAGACACGCAAACTCCAAAAAAACAGGCGTCAGGGTCGGGATCGAACCTCTTTCGTACTGGGCGTAGTCAACCGCGCTAATCGGATGTGTGGGGGAAGGACATCAAGCTAAACACAAAAAGGAGTTCTAAAGAAATTAGGTTTCAATCTCAATGGAAAAGTGCATAGCTCCCAATGGCGTACCTGTCAACCCTTTATCAGTGCCCTACCTCATGACAGACCAATTTAGATTTCGATTTAAAGCTTTCGTGACTCCAGGGATTCATCTTCTTGGTTCTTTCGGTAAAGTCACGTAGAAGGGAAATAATAAAATAATAAAAATAAAATATAATAAAATAATTCTCACGACGTTTCGGCCACAACGCAAGCAGCCGTCCTCAGGTGAAGAACAGGTCTGTCGAGAAGACAGAGTCTGAATGACAACCCCAGGCTTGGAACGTCTTTTTAAGCTGGGTTGGAGGGGGGGGGAGAGCGCCTTGACAAAATAATTTGCATATCAAGAGGAATTTAGCATATTTATGGGAAATGCGTAGGAGGTGGGCTGGGGGGTTTCAAAGTCATATTATGCCCATGCATTATGCAGGATTAGCAGCATCAAAGGGAGGGGGTAGCATTAACAAAGGGAGGGAATGTTAATAGTATGTAGAAGCAGGAGACCCACAGCGGAGCAAATAATGCATTCCCTGTAAACTTGACATTGTTTGTTTCGTTATTATGTGACGCATGTGGTGAATTGGAGAACGTATTGTTGATAATTAATATCAAGCGTAATAATATTGAGCCTAATATTAATCTTAATATTAATATTGCGCGTAATTTTTTACTTCAAACTTTCGTGACTGCAGGAATTCATATTCTTGGGTCTTTCGGAAAAGTCACTTAGATAGAAAATGTAATAAAAAAATTTAAGATAATAAATAAATTAAAAATATTACTTAAAATATATTATTTAAATTTGTAATTTTTATTTTATTATCTTTTATTTTTTTATACTAGTTAATATTAGTCTCTTGATATTACGCTCAAAATTAATATTACGATGAATATTACGCTCAATATTCTTGGTTCTTTCGGTAAAGTCACGTGGAAACAAAATTATATAAAAAATAATAAAATAAAAAATAAAATAATATTATTTTATTTTTAATTTTTCTTTTATTGAATTTTATTCTCTTGAGCGTAATATTAATTTTGAGCGCAATATTGAGCGTAACATTAAGCGTAATTTAAATTTTGAGTGTAATATCAAGAGACTAATATGAACTAGTATCACAATTTAAATCAAAATCGTATTTATATCAAAATAGCGACGCATATCGCCACCAGAGCGATGTCAACACAAAAGCCCAACGCGATCCAGGAATCGGCAGGTGTATCGATTCTCCCAACCTGCCACTACCGCAATGTTTAGTAATCGAGGAATCGACCCGCAAGCATTGAGCGGGAGTGTAATCTGACGACGCGATTCGGAGCGCGTGCGAGCACTGAAAGGGAGTCGAATCGAGGCGCCCGTGCACCGGAAGCGGAAGTCACGCGAAGCCGGGTTCACGCCGTGAGGGTGAGAGGATGGAGCCCGCGAGGTCCCCGCGTTAGAGGATTGGGGACCCCCCACGGCAACAGCAGCAGCAGCGGGAGGGAGACACAGAGAGAGGGGGACCCCCCACAGCAGCAGCGGGGGGGGAGACACAGAGAGAGGGGGAGACACAGAGAGAGGGGCACCCCCCACGGCAGCAGCAGCAGCAGCGGGGGGAGACACAGAGAGCAGCGGGGGGGGGGGAGACAGAGAGCAGCGGGGGGGGGGGGAGACAGAGAGCAGCGGGGGGGAGACACAGAGGGGGGGGGGAGACACAGAGAGGGGGAGACACAGAGAGAGGGGGAGACATAGAGAGGGGGACCCCTCACGGCAGTAGAGGGGGGGAGACAGAGAGGGGGGGGAGACAGAGAGAGGGGGACCCCTCACAGCAGCAGCGGGGGGGGGGACACAGAGAGAGAGGGAGACACAAAGAGGGGGGGAGACACAGAGAGAGGGGGAGACAGAGAGAGGGGGGGACCCCTCACGGCAACAGTAGAGGGGGGGAGACAGAGAGGGGGGGACAGAGAGAGGGGGGACAGAGACCCCTCGGAGGCACTAGAGGTGGATAGGGAGAGGGGGACTCCTCACGGCAGCAGCAGCAGCGGGGGGGAGACAGAGAGAGGGAGACCCCTCACATCAGCAGCGGGGATAGGGAGAGGGGGACTCCTCACGGCAGCAGCAGCAGCTACATCGGTGAGTGGGAGATCCCTCGCTGACATCAGCGGGGTGGAGGAAACGCGTAGCGACTGGGGGTAAGCACGCGGCCGCGGTGATAACGCGCGGCGAGACCGAGACACGGGGACACGGAGGGAGATACGGCGAGACTGCCACGAGGAGACTGAGACACGGGGACACTGAGACACGGGGACACTGAGCCAGAAGGAGACTCTGGAGCAAGGCACGGGGAGACTGAGAGACACTGCGTATTTAAGGAGATACGGGGAGACTGGCACGAGGAGACTGAGACACGGGGACACTGAGACACGGGGACACTGAGCCAGAAGGAGACTCTGGAGCAAGGCACGGGGAGACTGAGAGACACTGCGTATTTAAGGAGATACGGGGAGACTGAGACGGTGGGAGACAACAGGGGATTGAACGAGAGACCAGATTGAACGAGACACGGAGACAGCGGATTTAATGAGACACAGGGAGACACATGGGATTGAACAACACAGGGGATTGAATGCGACATAGGGGATTGAATGAGACGGGGATTGAACGACACAGGGGATTGAATGAGACACAGGGGATTGAAAGAGACGGGATTGAATGAGACACAGGGGATTTAATGAGACACAGGGGATTTAATGAGACACAGGGGATTGAATGAGACACAGGGGATTTAATGAGACACAGGGGATTGAAAGAGACGGGATTGAATGAGACACAGGGGATTGAACGAGAAACAGGGAATTGAACGAGAAACAGGGAGACGGGGGGACACATGGGATTGAATGAGACACAGGGAATTGAATGAGACACAGTGAGACAGGGGGACACATGGGATTGAACGAGACACATGGGATTGAATGAGACAGAGGGAGACAGGGGGACACAGGGGATTGAATGAGACAGGGGATTGAACGAGACACAGGGGATTGAATGAGACACAGTGAGACAGGGGGACACAGGGGATTGAATGAGACACAGGGAATTGAATGAGACACAGTGAGACAGGGGGACACATGGGATTGAACGAGACACATGGGATTGAATGAGACACAGGGAGACAGGGGGACACGGGATTGAATGAGACAGGGGATTGAACGAGACACAGGGGATTGAATGAGACACAGTGAGACAGGGGGACACAGGGGATTGAATGAGACACAGGGAATTGAATGAGACACAGTGAGACAGGGGGACACATGGGATTGAACGAGACACATGGGATTGAATGAGACACAGGGAGACAGGGGGACACAGGGGATTGAATGAGACAGGGGATTGAACGAGACACAGGGGATTGAATGAGACACAGTGAGACAGGGGGACACAGGGGATTGAATGAGACACAGGGAATTGAACGAGACACAGGGAGAACGGGGACACGTGAAGTAACACCAACGTCGACTGAACGCGACGCTCGCTGCGTCTCCAACTTGTCATTCAGCTGCACGCCACCGCCGGCGCCCGGATCGGTCGATTTCAGAGTCGCCGCCAGCTGCGGATCGAATCGAGATTACCTCGAAATCCGGATTAATCCACTCGCTGCCGTCCAGCATTCGCCGAGCGGGGTGGTGCCGAAACGTCGTCTCGTTACGGTCCGTTGCGTTGTCGCTCGTCAGAGGGGGGCTCTGGGTGGAGCGGCGTGCGAGCCCCGGTGTGGTGGTGGTGGTGGTGGGGAGGGTTTTGGTGAAGTACGATGGCTTGTGTCCGCTGTGGCGGTGTTTTGGATTTCATCTCGGACTGAGAGGGGGGTGGTGGTGGTGGCTGCTGCCTTTGGACCGGATCCGTGGCCTGCCACGCTGGGGCCTTTGTCCTCGTGTCGCAGCAGAACGCAGCCCTTTAACGCGACTTTGTTTTAACACATTTAAAAAAAATGTGGAATAATCACCCAAAGGGAGTTATCGTCACAAATGGTTTATCCTACGTGTATATATTTCATAACGCCTGATTGCAATTATAACATTGTACACGAGGTGATAGTGGTTGAGATAAAGTGACATTAAAAGTGGCGATCCAAGTCACGGTTTTTGTGCTCAACACCGGACCGCTGCCTGGAGTCGAACCCACCCCCTCCCGCTCAACGACACGTTGTCCGTGTCGTTGTTTTAAAGTCCACGCTCCAGTCGCCGCATTCTCTTCTGCGATCTGCGGTTAAAGCGTCAGATCCCTCGTGGTTAATCCAGCACAGTGTGGTTCGCGGCTGTCTGCGGGGATAATTCCGCCGCGTTTCGTGGCTGTGGAGATGAACGCCAGCGGTTGCCGACGATCGATGCATCGTTGGCACGGGTGACTTATTTTACGAAGGCACAGGAGGAAGAAGATGAGCCGACGTTTCGGGACCGTGGCTGGGCGACACTTTCCCCACGCCCTGAATTATTTCATGTCCCCCCCCCCCTTTTGCATGGCAGTGTCTGGTGTCACGGTCTCAAAGACTCGTTCACACTGTTGCGCGAGAGAGAGAGGTGCGGATAGGGTTTTAGGAGTCTTAACATTTGGACTGCTATTGAGACGCATGGGAGGTGTGGGTGTGATGCTGTGTAGCTTTGTTGCGCCTTACATGAGTTTTTTTTTTTACTTTAGGCTGACCGGTTTTACAACACAAGACCTGTGATTTTACAAGAACAACGTGCTGTAGGAATACTCGACGGCACAGTACTGCAGTTTTAGGTGCGGAGAGCAGTATTAGAAGCCAGATGCAACATGGTGAGTAGTGACCGGTGTCCGGTAGGATGGTTCATTATCAAATGTAACTACGGCTGTGAAAAACGTGGACTCACAAATGTAGGACATCTCATCACTGGAAGCCTTTTTAAACCAAGAGAAAGGACCCACACGAGGCCACCTTTGCCTTCCACGTGCTGACTTTCAGGTGCATCGCGAGGTGTGTTCATTTGAGGAGGCTCGGAAAAGTTTGGGGTAGCAGCACTTGCCGCTGTTGTAGTGCGTGGTTGAAACTCAATCCCATGCCACTGAGATCATAGTGCAGTGCGCGAACGACTGCAGCAGCGGTCCACGTACACGGACGCATAGAGATAAAGGCACACACTCGCAAAAAATCCACACGACGTAGACATACAGACGCAGACAATAACATACAGACGAAGATAACGCGCATACAAACCGCCGCAGACGAACATCAATGGGCACCGGCCACTGAGGACGCGTCTGCTGGGAGCTGCGGGCCCGTGGCACGCGGCGGCGATGGAGCGCTCGAGAGAGATGCCGGCACCCGGCCGCTTCGAGGGCGGCGACACGTCGCGCACTCGCTGGACCCACGAGGAGACGCTGGCGCTGCTCTCCATCCTCAAGCAGATGAACGTGGGCGGCGCGATGGACGCGCGCAACCAGCGCAACACTCCCTTCTTCCTGCGCGTCATGGAGCTGCTACGCCAGCGCGGTATCGCCTGCTGGACCCTGACGCAGGTGCGCGTGCGCTGGAAGAACCTCAAGGCGCGCTACCTGATGGCGCGGAGGGCTCGCGAGCGTGGCGGGGGAGGTGGCGGTGGCATTGGAGGTGGCGGAGCGAGGGACCGCGGCAAGGGCGCCTTCGCCTACTTCAAGGAGATCAACGAGATCATCGGAGGGCGGCCGTGCGTGGCCATCACTCGGGAGGGCGACGGTGCTGGCGTCGCTGGTGATCGGCACGTGGAGCCCGACGAGCGACGGTGCTACGGTGCGGACTCGGCTTTAGTTTCTATTTTAATCTTTTCCCTCGGTTCCGTCTCGTTTGTGCTGTCGGTGTAATGTCAAGAGAGGAAGGATCGGTTCGGATCCCCCGCAGAGCAGGGCAATGCTGCGTGCTGCAGAATGGTCCGTGGAATATCAGCTGCGTCTGAAATCTCATCACGTGACCGCCAAGAGTAATGTTTGCTGTACGGTATAAAAAAATATTTTAATTCTCAGAGGTAGAATTTTGTCAATTTAACTGTAGAATTGTATGACAATGTTAAAAAAACAATTCCAGGCTGAGACCATCGGCTCATTTCACAAAGAACCCAGTTTAAGCACAGGCAGCTGCTACTCCAGCCCATGATCTGAGTGGTGCCACCAGACAGTTTTATTTGTGTCCCATGGTTGTGTGGTGATGAAACCGATGCTGGGTCGCCAGTTAAAAAATAATGTCACCCATTTGTCCAGGAGAACCTTACTGAGTCTCAAGACTACTTCTGGAGGGTCCTGGATTGTGATGATTTAGTCGCCTGCATTGTTTTAGTAAATGGCTTTATCTGGAAGGACACTGATATACTCCGACGGAGAACTCGCCATTCACATGACAGGATAGCACCCACATGTCCACAGAGATGGGTTCACAAATCCACCTTCTCTAAAAAAACTATCTTGCTCAACCATGCTGAGGACAGAGATTATTGGTGGGTCATGGTTAAAATATATTGGGCAGCACTGGGAGCCAAGCTAAGGCATTCTAATAATGCCAGGTGGTGCGGAAGGAATGTTACGCGGATGAGGGCGTGTGTTTGCCCAGAGGGGGGGGCTCTCTTGGAGCTGAGGGTTCTAAAGGTGAACAGACCCTTTCCAGAGGTCGCAAACGGGTTTTGATTCCTTACCCGTACCCGGCCGCAGCAGGATCGCAAACAGGTACCCGTACCCGTACCCGTACCCAGCCGGGTATGGGTACCCGGGTATCGGGTAGGGTACGGGTATCGGGTACCCGATTGCGACGTCTGACCCTTTATGACTTGGTGATGGCAGAACGTGAGCAAAACAGCTGCAGATGACGAGAACACATCGCCTGAGAGCCGACGGGGAAACTGGACACTGAATTGGCGATGATGTGTTGCCCGCGACGTTGAACAGAGTTCCAGTGAGGAAGACCACGTGGAGCCTAATTTCAAGCAGGAGGCCATGGAGTCGAAGTCTCGTTCTCCACCGTACTTCGCGGACGTGGAGGTGTCTGGTGAGTCGCAGTATGTTACTCGTGGCTGCACTCGATTAGTTAAACGAGACATTTATCGCCAGAGGCGGCCAGAGGTCCAAGTGTTGAGCTGGCGTGGCTGAGATCCAGGTGTAGAGTCCAGGCAGGCCGCATGTGATTAAACCGGCCTCCCCTGTGTGTAAGGAGTTGATGGGTCTCAGCCTGATCGCCAATTACTATTAAAAGCCCATCGCATAAAACTTTTTTCTGCGCCTAATTTGGCTTCAATCCAGCGCTGGAGTATTAAACATATCGGTTTGGCCGTCATGCGACGGAGATTACACCCTCGACGGCAGAGTGGTTGGAAAAGGGCTGCCCGCTATTGTTTGGACCGGGGTCACTTGAAGGCATCCTCGGAGGTAGGTCTGTGATATCCACTTCTGTGGGCCATTCTCTTAACATGTAGGCTGCACTGCATGTCATGAGATTTGAATGGATGGATTCTTTGCCTCTTGATGTGAAGCCGATAGCATAAGATAAAATTGAGAAAAAAATATTTTTTAATAATGATAAAAAACGAATCGCCAAACCCAGGGCGCATACACTGTATACAAACACACATGCACAAGCGTACAATACATACGTGTGGAATGGAATCACGACCCCGTGAAGGGGAGTGAATTGTTCCATGCCTGGTGGTATTATCCTTCTATTGTCATTGGTCACTGCTGTCCATGCTGCTATTGGATGCTTGTCAGGGATGAACAGCAAGAATGGGGGGAGAGGCTCCCATCTATTTATCTCGCGTCTGACGGGGATTGGATGCAGGGTTTACGGATCACATGGACATGGCACAGGGAGTGAAGGAGGAGGTGGAGGCTGATGTCGAATCCTACTCGCCCCAGTGCAACTTTGAGGGCGACACAGCAGGTGAGTGGGTCTCCGTTTCTTGGTTCTTTCGGTAAAGTCACGTAGAAGGGAAATAATAAAATAATACGTGACTTTACCAAAAGAACCAAGAATATGAATCCCTGCAGTCACGAAAGCTTTAAATCAAAGAGTTGGTCTCCGTCGCGCGCCCTTCCTGAGCCGAGTGCCAAGCGGAATCCCACAGGAGGTGACATTCATTTCCAGTGCTGCTATGGGCGTACATCTAACTTTCCTTTTCCGAGATGTCTGCAAGTTGCAGGGTGGGTGTCCTGTTCACCGCTGAATCCCGCAACGTGCAAGCGGTTAGCGTTCATTTTATCTAGAGAAGCGTAGTAGCGCCGTTGTTTTTAAAGACATTGTACTCACCGCGGAGAACTGTAGCGACACGACCACATGGCCTTGTGGGAGTCTCGATACCAATAACGTTATTTTAGTTTTTCCTCTGGTTGCTATTGGAAAATGGTTAATCTCTCCATCCCGCCCAACGCCGTCATTCTGACAAGTTGTTCGCAGGGAAACGCGTAACATCCTTAGCCTCTGGCTTCTATTTGCCAGGCACCGCATGCATCGTCCCACGGGGCTGGACGTCGAACGTTGATGTGACCGGCGAAAGTGCAGCTCCCTCCACGTCGCTGGGCGGCGCCGCCCCCCCACCGCGGCCCTGCAGCGGCGGCGGCAGCTCAAGCGACGGCTCGGGCGCCGGGGACTTGCCGGCGCGGCAGCGCGCGTACCTCGGGGCGCAGGAGCGCATGCTGCTGCGGCTGCAGCGCAGCAGCCAGGAGGCGTCGTTCGCGTTCCAGCGCGAGCTGCAGGCCGACGAGATGCGCCTCCTGGAGCCGCACCTGCAGGCGGCCGCCGGCGTCGCCGCCTCCTTCCTGGGCGTCATGGAGCGCCTGTCGTCGCTGCTCGAGGCCACCGTGCGGGACCTTCCCTTCGTCAACTCTGCGGGGACGGCGGCGGCGGCAGCCGGCAATGACCGCACGCCATCGTCGCCGTCGCCGACGCCGCAGACTCCGGGCCAGGCGCCCCCCACCTCGAACCAGTCGCGCGGAGAACAGACGGCACCGCCACGGTCGTCCCCGCACCACCGTCGCCACCACCATCGCCACCGCCATCAAGGGCTGCTTGCTGACGCGGACGTGGATGGACCCGTGCCGTCGCTGGGTCCGCACGGACGCGCGGCCAACGGAGCTCGATCTCACGGCGACGAGACGGCGACTGAGACCCCGATGGCGGCTAGTCCTGTGGCGGGCACGGCGGCGGCGGCGGCGGCGGCGGCGAGGAGGGACGCGCGAACCCCACTGCTCGCCACGTCGTCGCCGCCTCGGCGCTTGGGCTACGGAGGACACAAGCTGCCCGCGCGGTTCAGGACGGCGGAAAAGTAGCACTCGCACCCGGCACGGGTGGGCGTGATGAGAATCCGTGCGCCGCGCAGGCGCTTGGAAGAGAAATTGACTTCGGACGCTGATGGGAAGTGGATGCTTGTCTTCGGATGCTCCCAGCCCAGGGTGCAGAGCCACGCTCTGGCTTTCTCGGTTTACCAATTGGCGGATTGAAGCAAAACACGGGTTGTGGACTGGCTACCACTTGCATTTCTTGTTGCGACGTTCAAGTCTGAAGGTGCCTTGGTGATTCGTGCGCAAATGTTAAGCGTCTTTTCAACCTCAACTTCATCCTATTACGGTTTGCATTTACTTACTAGTGAATACGCTGAATTGGTCTTAAAAGCACTGTTAACTATTTTTTCCTTCCATTATACGAGAGTTCTCATTGCGATTTCTGCTGTAGTGCGGTACCTGTGGCTTGAGCACTTTGACCCCGCAATCGGAAGATTGTGAGTTTAAATCGGAGCCTGTGGAGAACACGGACCCCTTTCATAGAGATGTGGAATTGACGCCACTGGCGCAGAGCCAAAACCATGGAAATGAACGGCACAACCCAATCGATCTCATTTGAGCAGGGAGACACTTGTGAAGTTTGTTTTTACTTTAACTGAGATTCCCCAAGGTTTGGACCAAGTGAGCGAGCTGAGCAGGGGAGCTGGCATGAGCTGGCACGTGGACGTACGCCAGCTGGTAGAGCAGTGAGCGTCGTGACGTGGACCGAAATTTGACAGAGCAGAAGTTTTATTGAGCCATAGTGAGACTTAATTGTTGCGATTGTTGGTTTGCAAGGTAGAGAAGAATTACGTTTTTACTTCATGTACGTATTGTGCACACGTGCTACACTGACGTTATTAGTTTTCAATGTTAACATCGTATCATAGCAACACTGAATAGTAAAGATTGGTGGATGTGCTGGAAAGGTTGGACCGTCAAGGGGCGTGAACACTAGCTTTTGAAATTAGCCATCGTCACAATTCTTAATTGTTCAGAAAGTAAAACCAAAATGTGTTTTTATTATTCATATAAGTACAAACATCAGAGTGGTTGTTAGAAATGCGTGCAAAGAACAAACCTGGCCCAAAAGTGAGAACATTCATTGTCTTTCGGGGCAAAAGCAGTTTAATGGGGTTTTTTCCCCCCTCTCGCATGTCAATTATAAAAAAACAAATAGTGGATAGAGCAGACAGTCATGCCTGACTGCGCTACTTTCATTTGTTTTACTGTGACGTCAATTTACTGGAATGTAAATGCTGGTCAGTCTCGGCTCACTTGGGGTTGATGGGAGCGTTGTAATGCTCTTGTGATTTTGTTTTTCTAGACAACTGCCGGTTGGTGTCGTCATCCGTTGTGAGCTGTTGTGCCATGACGGATCGGTTGTGTGGGACATGTTTTTCGAAGCATTTGCTTGATTCAGTCCTAATTCTAGACGAGTTCAAAACCACATCACGGTTCCCAACACAAATGAGCGTGGGGTGGTCCCGTGCCGGAAGGTGGAAAGCAGCCCACTTTTCGACCGCTCCTGGTTTCCGGTTGTGCATGTCACGTTTTGGAGGTGGCTCTGTTTTTTCCCCTCGATACTGAATGCGAACAAGAAAAATGAAAGGGGCCTCTCACGAATTTGCCACAGGTAAGGAAACATTCTTTGGTTTGGACAATTAATCAGAACGAGGGCAAACAATAATTTCAACTGAACTTTTTATTTTTCCAGGAAAGGCCCACTGAGCTATGCAGCTCGTTTTTCAGAAGCGACCTGGCCACAAATGATAGCTCAACGAAGTGGCTCATCAGGTGGAAATGTATAGCAGCAAAAAACTCGAGATGCATATCGATTCTAAATGTGGAGGGAAAAACCCGGAGAAAAATCCACGTGACCATGGGGAGAGAGACACGCAAACTCCAAATATACAGGCGTCAGGGTTCGAACCCACGACCTGTATCCCAGGCGAGATAGTGAACATTTCGCCACCGCGGCGCCCATCGATCAATGGTCTTGCACTGTCATCTGGAAGGTTCAAGAAGTCGAGGCTGCCCATGCTCGAGATGTAGTGACGGCCTCAACAAGCGGGAACTTGCAAGGCAAGAATGTAGGTCTTCAGGAAGTGGCGATCGCCATGGCCAGAGATGGGAAGTAGCGGACGTTTACGCATACTTCACGTCAGCCGCCATGTACCGACTGACAAGAAGAGGCAAAGGCAGGATACCATGTGGGGATGTTTCTAAAGCTGTGGTGAAAGTCTTTAAAGTGTCTCCATGCTCGAGCATTGGGGCAGCATCCATCTCCATGATTGGCAGCCCTGCACCAGTGTTGGAAATTCCACATTCCCATGGTGGGGTCCATTGACTGCGTTCGATGACCACTGTTAACTTCGCAGAAGTGGTGCTCGTTGTTTTTACACTTTGGAAGGACGATTGGCTGAGCCAAACTCCCGATTTCACAAAAACGGTTTTAAAAATGTAAAATTAAATATTATTGAGATGTATTGCAGAGATAAGGACAGGAGCCAGTCGTAAAAATATTGGCAGATGCTGATCCAGCATAGGGCACGCTTTAGAACCCAATAACATTTTACAGAAACTGCTGCTGTGCTGCATTAGTATGAGAATGACAGTGGCTGGTGACAAGTATTAAGATGAAGGAATTAAGTATTTAATAGATGGATGCATTGAGCTCAAGTTCATGCCCACACACGCGGTCTATTTTCGTCAACGAATTCAACCACTCAAAGTTTCTACACTATGGGAACCTCATTTGCCAGTAAAAATATGATAATTGGTTCCCATAGTGTAGATGCTTGCCCCGAGCTCTCATACTCTGATGGTGCATTGTCTTTGAGTTGTGCGCCTTTTGGCGTCATCTGGTCCAACCCATGTGAGACTAGGCTCTAAGGAAAGCTGTCTCGGGTGTGGACCAATCAACTTCAAGGACAGTGCACATTATCAGAGTTATGTCTTTTGTTTGTATTATGACTGCAGGTATTGCGGTCTATGCAAACATGACTCCTTGTAAAAAGGTGTCAGTTTTGTTGCCAGATAGAAGGGTAAAAAACAAATTATCACTCAAAGTTTGTCAAGACTAGTATAATTTTTTTAGGAATATGAGACTGTAAAAGGTAACATTTTAAGAGAATTTGCAAGCCGTCGCTCTTCATTTGTAAATTGTCGGGGAGGGGATGGGGTTTGTAAGAAAAAATAAACACGTTGTGAAGACTTTGTCTCACCTTTGCCGACTTACCCCTCGGCACGGCCTTTCGAATGCTTGCGCCACGATTGCACATACGTCATGAACTCGTCACTAAAGCGGCTCTTCTTACCGCTTCACGGAAGGGGGTCCCGTTACAGCAGCGTGTGAATAAAATGCATGGCTCTTCATGTATAATGCAGGGCGCCGCTTGTGCGCGTGCTTCAACACGCCGGCGGTGGCACTTGGCCCAGGATGTAATTCCGCAGGCGAGGTCTTGGGCCAGCCATTGTAATCGGCGTTGCCCATCGCTCATATGAAGCTAAAATATGCTTTGTTTTATTATCACTACGCTTGGTTTACCCAGGAAAGCCTCACCGAGTCTCAAGACTCTTTTCAGGAGGATCGTGTGGGTGGAAAGCCATACGAAGTCGTAGGACTTTTTTTAGGAGTGTCCTGCCACGCTGAATATTTAGACAAGTGGGACAAAACCAGGAGCACCCGGAGAAAAACCCCCACGCGTGCGAGAGGGGCCAACACAGATGGAGTACACAGACGGCGATGAGTCCACTTGCCGTACTGCCGTCTTGTCCGCGAGGCAGGGAGGTTCACAACGTGGGTGTGTGGTGATCCGCCGACCCTCGATGCTGCATCCACATGTGCTGGGTTAGAGGCCGCCACGTGCAGCATCATAGCCGCCGCCGCCCTGCTCAGCTGTCACTGCGCCATGCACGCGGTTGCCATTCGGAAGGTTCACGTCGCCGCGATCTGCCGGCGCGCGATGCCGGTCCGGTACAATTGTGCAAATCTCACAGCCCCTGTGGCAGAAATCAGGGGCGCGTTGATCCGCAAGAGCTCGGTGCCGTGTCCGTATAGTTATAGACACGTGTGCGGCATGTCACGGCTGCTTTAAAAAATATATAAAAATATATTTGACCAGGTAAGGCCCTCTTCGCTATACAGCTCTTTTTCAGAAGCGACCTGGCCACAAGTGATAGCTCAACGAAGTGGCTTATTACACTGGTCAACAAAAATAATTCTGGCCTAGACTTTTGCAGCTGTTTTAGACTAATTCCAGGGTGCTGATTCCAAATCTGATCTCAGATTTGCTCTATCACATAATTTTTTTGCTATCGGCATACCCCATTTTCATTGATTTTACTCGAAATTAACTCTGTCACTTATGATTGCAAGTTGTTGCGAGTCAGTGACTGCTTTAGTGTTAAAATATGGTGCTGTATTTTTAGGATAGTGTGTTTATAATATCATTTTATGTAGATATCCATATTTATTTAATATTTTTCTTCTGCAGTTTTTATTGAAAATGCAATATTTGATATCTCAAAAAAACCTGATGTGATAGACAAAAACTGATGCCAGATTTGGAATCAGCACTCCAAAATTACATTAAAAGCGTTGGAATACCTTATGCCAGAAAAAGTGTGTTGACCAGTGTTATGGGGAATTGGTTGCAGCCAAATACTCTAAACGCGTGTTTCTAAATGTGGAGGGAGAAAACCCGGAGGACCCGGAGAAAAATCCACGCGACCACGGGGAGAAAGACACGCAAACTCCAAATATGCAGGCATAGGGGTCGAACCCACGATTTCGTGTATACCAGGCAAGGTAGTTAACATCTCGCCAACGTGGCACCCATGTATACTCATGTATATTGTACATGGGGCGGACGTGTTTGCTAATTCAGCGGTAACTCATGCATGTGTGTATGTTGAACTTCGTTCGCACCGTAAGTAGCCAACCGTGCTAATCGCAATGCTCCCAGCTGCGGCATTGCGGGAAAGGAATTTCAAGTTGCAAAACCGCGTACAGCGTTCTGCTTTGTGAGCTATCCCCGGGTTTCCCGCAGTGTCCAGGGGTTCCTATTCGGCTGCTCAGTGCTGGTTGAGGCTCTGCTATCAGACACCAGCGCCTCCACCACCACCCGCCACAACCACGACCACCACCACCCGCAACCACTATCTGCCACCACCACCCACTACCATCACCTACCACCACAACCGCCACCACCAACCACCACTATCGCCACCCGCCACCACCATCACAACCACAATCCAAAAGTGCAAAGTCAAGGATCCACCGCATAGCCTTAACAGACTGTTGGGGCAAGTGCTGTTAGCGAACACCTTTGAAAGCTGGCACTGTGGCACACGAGGGAGTGGGTGGCCAGCACCACGCCCGACCGCCTTTGTCTCCCTGAGTGGCGATGTTTACTACACACCGCACCAGGTACTCATTTGAGACTGAGTCGACCTAGTGGAGGCCCAAGGACCGGTTCAGACAATCGTCACTGATATTGGCCGTTGGTGGGAATCGAACTCTAGCCGCATGGGTTCGTAGCGCTAACCGCTCCACCACCGCTCCCCATACACCACTTCAGCGGGCCACTAGCGGCCCCAGGTGACCTTTAGAGCGCCCCCCCCCCACCCCCCACACACTGACGATGTCTAATCGGCGAAAGTGCTCCCCACCTCCCCTCTGAAAAGTAGTGAAGACAACTGAACTCGATCCATCTCCAGACACCGCCGCCACACCACTGCAGGCTCAGGTACCGCTCGTGTGGCCGGCGTTGCCGAGTCAGAGGTTCCCCGCCTCAGTGGAGCTGACTCGGCAGGTCTACTCCCCCACCACCAGCACTACCCCCGAGTAAACAATGCGACGTTTTCCACTGCGCGATGCGCGCTTCACATCAGTGGTCGTGAGCCCCCGTGTGGCATTCGGGACCCGGGCAGAGAGAGAGAGAGGGCACAGGGCATGGTCCTGTCCACTGCGCGTGGCGTGATAGCCCCAGCACTGCGCCCCTAACTGGTGAGTTGTTGTGTGTGTGCGTGCGCACAAGAGAAATACCTACTTACATACACGTACTATACGGCCCTTTGACAATCCACTGCTGGATGAAGGCCACTACAATCGGGTTGCCACTGGCCTGGGTTTGACCCGGACATTCCGGGTATTGGCACGTATCTATTCGGGGTGGCAGGAATTGCTTTTTCGATTTAAAGCTTTCGTGACTGCAGGGATTCATCTTCTTGGTTCTTTCGGTAAAGTCACGTAGAAGGGAAGTAATAAAATAATGTTTTATTTTGTTTTATTATGTTTTATTGTATCGCCATCTGGTATCCGTAAAGCGTGAAAAACAATGTTTTGCAGTTTTCTCAATAGACCTCGGTGACTGAAAATTATGCCTCGGGTTTGGTGGAGGGTGGACAAAGTTTTGTTTTTCTTGCGTACGATGGCAAGTAGCGAAATGTTCGAAATGCCAATGTGGAAGTCTGCTACTGGCCGCGAGAGGGCTTCACGAGAGAGAGAGAGAGTTCGTGGAGTTTTGCTGTTCCTCCTCCGTCGAAGAGGCGCAGACGACAGTGGGTTTCTGAGTCTTTTTTTGGGTTAGATCGCGTAAATATATAAATGTGTCGTTTAAACCCGCCACCACCCGACACAGCCAACTAATAAGGGTTGTCACGTCAACAGAACGTGGCCAATTCGTCACTAGTACAGCACTAACCGGTGTGTTGGAGAGCCAAGCCACACCATTTACAATCTGAGTGTACGACGTTTCGCCAGTAATTACAACTAGCTTCATCAGGCGACAGCCAGATTTGTGGAGAAGTCCACCTGTTTCTGTCCTTATATAGAGGCGTAGATGTGGTGACCACGCTTCTGCGCTCTTGCGAAAAGTGGCGGGGTGTATTAATGAGTCAACGTACATTATGCATGCCTATTATGCGAACCCTTTCATCTTATCCTTCCTGTCCATTGTGTGTTTTAAAATGGGGTTATAATAACACACCTGTGTGCTGTACTAGTAACGAATTGGCACGTTCTGTTTACGTGACACACCGTACTGATTGGCTGTGTCGGGTGGTGGCGGGTTTAACGACACGTTTATATTTACGCGATCTCACCCAAAACTAACCTATATTATGTATGATATTGGTCGCGAGAGGCTACGTATTAAACTGCAGTGGGTTGACGATAGGGGTCATAGTTTGGGTTCCATGGCCACAGAATCTTATATATATATATATAATTAATATATACGGTATATATTTAAAAAAATGCTTCCTCATTCGCATCAATGCGTTACACGCATCTATACACGACGTGTTATTCTTTCACAAAAGTCGTACGGGATTCACGGCGAGAGATTGTTGTGAAAGAAGTGACATCTGGACGGGTTCACGCCACAGTCGGGGTTGACACGTGTAGGGGTGCTGGTATAGAGACGACGACCAACAATTTCACAGTCAGGTGGTCAACTGAGACAGCAGATAACCGCATCAGGAGTGGAGCGGAGTGCATCGCTGTGAAGATGCCTCCTTCAGAAGTTGTGGATCGGGGCATTGCATCGTTTATACGTTGTTACGTTCTGTTCCGGATGACCACAGTGGCACACTCCTACTGGGGAGTTTTTATACATTTCCCATTTGTGCATCAGGTATCCGCACCTGACATGGTTTGTGCACTGGATGTGGTTCAGGGTGGACCGTGAGCAGCTTTGTGGAGTATCTCCTGCGTCGGCTCCTTCACAACTCGGTGTCCGTGAATTCTTTTGAACTCCATTCGGCTCCCCAGGCTCCATCGTGGTTGTATTTCGCATTGTCGATGGTTAAGCGCGCGGGTTCCGTAAAGGGGCTTGCGTGACTTTCAAGCGACGGCGGCGAAGGGGGCATTTTCGACGTCGTCCTCGTTTAAATTGGGAAGGGGGCGACTGTTTTCCTCCATTCGCAGGAATTTCCGTGGGGGGGGGGGGGGAGTCTCAGCGTTGCGGGTGGACGCGGTTGGGGTGAGAGATTTGTGACACAACACGTGGGCGTGATTGTTACACCTCGAAGTTCGAGATCACGGTTTCGAAACGGTCCTCTATGCCCCATGGACCGTGGCAGCAGCAGGCAGGCAGCAGGCAGGCAGCAGCAGGCAGCAGCAGGCAGCAGCAGGCAGCAGCAGGCAGGCAGCAGCAGGCAGCAGGCAGGCAGCAGGCAGCAGCAGGCAGCAGGCAGGCAGCAGGCAGCAGGCAGCAGGCAGGCAGCAGGCAGCAGCAGGCAGGCAGCAGGCAGCAGCAGGCAGGCAGCAGCAGCACGGCCGTACGGTGTCCGGTGAGCGGCATCAGTTAGCACCACCACCACCCACCACCAGCAGCAGCAACTATCTTGTTGTTGCTGCCGTCGCTGGAATCCGCTGGAACGCTGCTGGGTCATCATCACGGGAGCGGGTGGCGATCTCCGGCCACGAAAGCGCTCGCGCGGCACTTTGCATTGAACGGCGGCCGACAACAACACGGGGCTTTGCAGGCAGCGAGGGACCCGCGCTTACGCTGCACCGGCCCCGTTTTGCGTCAATCCGCCGCCGCATGGAGGGCCCAACCACGGCCCGTGCGTGGGTCACGGGCTTTAGTCCGCGCGGGGTTGTGTGATGGAAACAGACGCGTGGGAGCGTAGAAGTGCAGCACAACAAATGCATTTCGTGCGCGCCGCCCGCTGCAGCCACGACGCAGCCGTGCATGGTGGCCTCCAACGTCCCCGATTTGGTCGAGGTTGGGAGCGTAGAGATTGGACGGAGTGCAGTGCAACACTGGATTTTGCTGCACTGCCCTCCGTTGACAACGTAGCCCCGCAGCAGCAGCAGCCTATAGCACCTGTTTCGCGCATAGCGGTCGCTCCATCCAAGCGCTATCCAGGCTCAGCCCTGCTTGGCTTCCGAGATCTCGGAAGCCATGGGGTCCATTCCCGGCGATTCCGGCAAATGAGGGAGTCGTCGATCGCTGTTGGATCAGGCATTACGTTGCATTCATTGCCTTGTATAAGCTCCACGTTCGAGGCTTTTATAGGCTGATAAAGTACAACACGGATACCAAATTAAACGAACAGCTCATGATTGTTGTGTATATGAAATTTAGGGTTGAAGCTTTCGTGACTGCCTAGATGATGAACACGAGCGCTTTAGCAGTCTTTTGATATTTCTATTTAAAGCTTTCGTGACTGCAGGGATTCATCTTCTTGGTTCTTTCGGTAAAGTCACGTAGAAGGGAAGTAATAAAATAATAAAAATAAAACATAATAAAATAATATAATAATATATTTTATTATGTTTTGTTTTTATTACGTAGAAGGGAAGTAATAAAATAATAAAAATAAAACAATAAAATAATATAATACTATCTTTTATTATGTTTTGTTTTTATTATTTTATTACTTCCCTTCTACATGAATTTACCGAAAGAACCAAGAATATGAGTCTTTTGATATACGCTGTCAACCAGGTTAGTGTCTAACTGTGTTGTTGGCCGACTGGTTTGCGTCTCGTCTCCCATCTTCTTGTTGCATTTGCTCACGTGCAGTTTGCCGTGCTCTATGTGCTGTGTACGCGGTGTCCCTCTGTGTGTTCCCTCGCTACGTGTTTCACCCCATGTCCACCTGACGATGAGCGCTTGTGTTGCGTTCGAAACGTCGTGATTTATTTTATTTATTTATTCAAATGTTTTTATTTATTTCTACACACGTGACTTTACCGAAAAAAACCAATGAGTATATGAAATTTATCAGCCGATGCGCAAATGGGAAATTAAAACCGTGGTCATCCAGAAGAGAGACCGTAACAACGTATAACGACGCAATGCCCCGATCCACAAACACGGCGGAGACATCATCACAGCGAAACACTCCGCGCTGCTCCTGACGCCGTGGTCTGGGCTTCACCACCCTGGATGTGAAATTTTAGTCGTCGTCTCTGCATCGACATCAGCCATACGAGAGAAGAAGAAGAATAACAATAAGAAGTGTTTCACAGCTCCAGAGACAGTTGCAGAACCTGCACGAATGTTGAACTTCTTTCGCACCGTACGTAGCCAACCATGATCATGAATCACCCCGCGTCAGGCGCCGCACTAAAGGCCAACAGGGGCCGCCAGTGGCCCACGGGCCTTGCAAATGGAGAACCACTGCCGTAGACCTTCCATGGCAGTGTTCCTTCGATGGTGGTGGGAAGACTTTCGAGAGGAAGATTCTCTGCATCTTTTCGGCAAGGGGAGAAGGTTACCACCACCGCCACCGCCACCCTGGCCCTCTCCCGCTCGTTGTTGTTGCCGCTCCCTGCCGCCCACCACACGAGAACCCCCCCTCCTCCTCCTCACCACCCTGCCGCCTCTCTCCGACCGTCCCCTTCCTCAGCGATCGAGCGAGGGATCGATCGTCGATGTTCGCGCTGGAACCGGTCGTGCCCTCCGGGGACCCGCCCCAGCCGGGAGACCTCATCGAGATCTTCCGCGCCGCCTACCAGCACTGGGCCCTCTACCTGGGCGAGGACCTGGTCGTCAACATCGTACAGCACGGTGAGCAACAAACGTCGCCGACACGCCGCGCGCTTGTACTCGCTACGGCTCATTTATTTTTGTTCGACAGGATGAGAACCCAGAGAGGGCAGGGATAATGTCATTTGCATGAGTTACCTTGGGAATTAGAAATACACTAAACACACAAAAGTATTTATAAATGATAGAGTCCTCAATCGAGATTTAACAGCAAAGTAAAATTGTGCTGAAACTAAAAACTATTAAAACTAAGCTATTTTTTATTTTGCTCGGTAAGGTCCACTGAGCTGGATAGCTCTTTTGTAGAAGCGACCTGGCCACAAATGATAGCTCAACCAAGTGGCTTATCACGTGGACATTTATAGCAGCCGAATACTCTAAACGCACAAAAGCAGGAAACCCCCAACGTGCCAAGCCCAGCGAGATGCGGCTGATGATGCCATTGATGTCACAAAGCCTCGCACATCACCTCCCGTGCAGCGGCACACGTGGGCATGCTGGAACGTGTTACGTAAACCATGCGTGTGGATTCACACTGCGGGTGTACTGACCGTGTGAATGTGCGTCGCCTGCGTCACAGTGGACGTTCGAGATCCCCGTGACGTTATCAGAAAGAAACAAAATGAAGAGTAGGCTGTGCAGGTCGGCGTCATGGTCCGAATTTGTCAAATTTCAAAAATAACCAAAAGCAACATTCGCCACTTACCACCACTTGCAGGCCGGTGCTTCGTCATCTTGGACATCTGTGAAAAAGAGCTTTATAGCTCATCGGATTCCTCCAGTATAAATATTTTGATTGTGATGTTGTGCCACACAGGGACAGCTGTCGTCAATGCTGAGCACTGTAGTTCCAGTCTGTTCTCCTGTAACGCGGTAGTTGCTTTCCTGAAGAACGCAGCGTTACGGTGCGTATGCAGGCTGAACAAAGACGGAGACGCGTGGGTAGCATCTAGAAGCATCCAGCAGCATCCCAATGCCTCGTGCGATGCTACACCGGAGCAGCTGGGACGTAGTTCCATTCACTCAATTGCGTTATATCCAATTCACATCTGCGTTATAACAAAAACGTGTCCCCTAATACATTCATCGCGTTATATCCAATTCGCGTTATGAAAACACGCGGCGTTACAGGAGAGCAGGCTGTGTTGAGACGAGGTGTGACGTAAGGCGCCTCCAAAACGTGCATTAAAGTGCCACGTAAATCCGCCAAAAAAATCATTAACTTTTATTGTTTGGGCCTCACCGTTCCTCGACGGCGAATTCCGTGCCGCAAGACTCGGGCGCGCCGGCCTGCTCGGCGAGCGCCAAGTCGGTGCTGTCCCGGCGCGCCGTCGTGCGGCTGCAGTGCCTCGCCGACGCGGTGGGGCCCGACGCGTTCCGCGTCAACAACAAGTACGACGACCGGCACGCGCCGCTGCCCGCGGCCGAGATCGTGCGGCGGGCGCGGCGCCTCGTCGGCCGCGACGTCTCCTACGACCTCCTGGGCAGCAACTGTGAGCACTTCGTGACGCTGCTGCGCTACGGAGAGGCCGTGTCGGACCAGGTGAGGCCGCTCGGGGGGGGGGGGGGGTGAGTGGGGGGCGACGTGGGCACCAGGGTAGGGTGGGGCCGGTCGGCTGGCCAGGCACCTACCCAACCACCCAGCTAGCCAGCCACTAAACTAGCCAGCCACCTACCCAACCACCCAGCTAGCCAGCCACTAAACCAGCCAGCCACCTACCCATCCAATCACCCAGCAAAACCACTTAGCCAACCAACCAGCCACCCACCCAAACAACCAACCATTAGCACGGTTGGCACCTCCAATAAGCACAATTGGCTACGTACGGTGCGAAAGAAAGTTAAGCGTACATTCCGTAACGTACGTCACGTGCGACGGCAGGGGATTGCAAAAAATCCGCAGGAGCCTGTGGAGGTAAATCAAACCAAATGGGGAGAATCGTGAAACCAACAAAACAAAGACCGCCTCGCCAAAATCGGCCTCCCGGTGACTTCCCGTACGTCTCCACGAAGATTCGCCTCGCGGGGAACGCGAACTCATTCGCGACGGTGAAGCGCTGCGGCTCTGCGAGCGAGTGGCTTGAGCAGCGGGCTCTTCCCGGCGGGCATTGAAACCTTGAGAAGTCGTTCTCGGCACGAGGCTTTGATAAGACGAGGTCAGTGTCGGTGTTGGTGAAGCGGCTTGCCTGGAGGGGGCCCCTCTTGCTCCGGCTTCGTCGTGTTCATGATTGGCAAGCGGAGACCGAAAATTACAAAACAGCTCGCAGCAATCGGCACGACTGAAGTTGTAATGAATAAGGGTTGTTTCTTGGGTTGCGCAAGGCGATAGAAACTTGGGAGCAGAGCAGTGCGACGTAAGTATTGTGGCCTGCAGTGTGGCGAGTGGGTTCGTGGGTGGGTGTGTTGTTTTAACCTGCAGTGTGGCGAGTGGGTTCGTGGGTGGGTGTGTTGTTTTAACCTGCAGTGCGGTGTTTGAGCAACAGTACGGATGAGACAAAAAACAACAAGTCTGATAGACCAAGTCGTCAGCATGGGTGGAGAAATCAATAAGTGAAATTCACAGGAACAGTGACCACACTCGGAGCAACAAGATGAGCGATGTGGAGGTGTCCGTAAGCGAGCGAATCGGTGAGTTTGTGGGATCATCCGTCCACCTGCTTAACGCTGAACGCTCGTGGCAGGTGTCGCACGCCATGGGCGCCGTGGGGCTGGTGGCGACCGTGGCCGGACTCTTCTCCCTCTTGGGCATCATCCGCAGCCGCACGGCCATGCGAGACTCCTCCTGACTCTCCCTCTTTCACTCACACAGCCTCAACGCCCAAGGGCTCACACGCGCGCGCATCGATGTTCGCAATCCACAAAGGGGTTAGCCGACCGCTTGAGGATAGGGGTGCCGTGGCGGTCTCTGCCAGGCTGGGGGGGGGGGGGGTCTGCGCCTTACGGCGTCGTCCCTCATCGCAATTCTCGAGAGGTCCGGTTCGTTAACAACTGCATGCATGCTCCCGACTTATTCATAGTCTGTTCTCCTAGAACGCCACGTGTTGTTTTCATGACGTGAATTGGATAGCACGCGATGAATGTTATCAGGGAACACATTTTTTATAACGCGGATGCGAATCGGGTACAATGCGATCGAGTGAACGGAACGACGTCGCAGCGCGAGTAGGAACAAGCGGTTGTGCGGCTGCCTCGGCGTAGCGTCGCACGAGGCAGCGGGATGCTGCTGGATGCTTCTAGATGCTACCCACGCGCCTCGGTCTTTGCTCAGCCTGCGTCACGCATCCCACGTGTTTTCGCGGACTTTACCTACATTATTTATTGTGACGCGATTTTTCCATAACGCGGTGTTTTTTTAGGAACGCAACATCTGCATTATAGAACACGACTGTTCGTACGCACATAACCCGACCCAAACCTACTTGAGATGAACACGTTTAAAGGTCAAGAGGTCATCATGCCATATACTGTTGATGCCCCCCCCCTGTTGTATCCTAACCCTTCTTCCATAATTGAGATTAATAATATTTGATGATTTTTATATATTATCTTTTTACTTGTTTTTTTTAATGAGTGAAACACACCAAAGCGCACCAAACTGCAAAACACCAGGTGTTGTTAAGTAATGAACGAGAGGAGGGCTAGGATGACAGAATTTGCAACCTTGCTTCAAGGCAAAGGCAGTGAAAGGAAGCAGAGGCGCCTTTGTCTAAGTCACAACCACAGAAAGCCAGGAATCATCACTGATTGTGTGTTTAGGGATTCCGAGCTAATTAGAACACGTGCACACAGAAAGGGAGGTAGAAGCACGCCTTGTTCTCCTGCAGCTGAGGAAACAAAGATAAACCCAAAGAGGCCTTGGACCTGAAATTAAGAATAACATTCCCAGAGCAGAAGGTTGGAGGGACAGGGGAGAGCTGATTTAAAAAAAGTGTTGTATATCTCTCAAGGCGGGCAGACCCAGCTAAATAACACGGCTGCGGGGGTCACCAGAAGTTCGCGTTCGCCTAGTTAAGACAAAAAGCTCAATTATTCTGTATTGCTATTAAAGTAACGTTAAAGTCGGAATTTAACAACAGGGTAGGCTAAAGTTTGATATTCACACCCACTCCAATTAAACCAGGTCACAAGTACGCCTACTGAACCATCACCATCATTAAGTCAATATGAAATGTTATTTCCATACTTTAATGCTTTCTATACAACTCGACCCGAAGCATATGCATGAAAAGACAAAAGTAAAACTTATGAAAAGCCAGGATAACGGGATGAATCACCACCAGGTCGAATATAAATACATAATAAAAAACGATGTTAAACCCAGGGTCGGAGAGAAAGGGAGATCCCGGCCGTCTTTGTATCCCCGCAGCGCGGGATGGGAGTGTGTGTACGCTCGGGGAGACGCCTCCACTTGGGTCGGGCACCACGATGGGAAACGACAGACCTTGGGTTACATGCGGAATCATGGCTGTGAAATAGTAAGGGACAAATGTTAACTTAAAACTTTTGGCCATTTCTTTGTGCGCCGGGTCGGAGAGAGCGTTGCCCCTCCCTCCAGGTGGTGCGAACAAAGACGCCTATGAGACATTTGTGACGTCTGTGTTTTGGGTTCATGGGGAAGGCCAGACAGGAGATAATGTTGCGCCCAGACAGAGAGACGACCTCGAGGCAATTTGTAACATCTGATTGTTTGCTCGTGGGTTTTATGGAGGGAGTGTGACAACGGAATATACCGTCAGTGATGCACACAAGGACACACGGACGTACGGACACACACATGGACACACCTGCCTACGGACAGATCCTGACACAAAAAAAAATCGAAAGAAGTCCCGCCTTGTGGGCGGGATCCAGGGGGAATTTTCGGCATAAAGTAAAGGATCCTGAGCATTGGAAATCAGTGCGACGGGAGGGTCGACTCAGGAACGAGTGCGACCAGAGTGGGTCCACTCAGGAGTGCGACCAGCGGGTCCACTCAGGAGTGCGACCAGAGGGTCGACTCAGGAGCGAGGGCGACCAGCGGGTCGACCCAGGAGCGAGCTCGACCGGGAGGGTCGACTCAGGAGCGAGCTGCGACCAGCGGGTCGGCTCGACTCATCTTCAGCTCGTCAACCTCTGCCGAATCGGGGGTCTCTGCTGCCACCGGAGTGGTGAGCATCGCGGATCGGCGACAACCCAGAGCTGCACGCTACGAGCGAGTTGTGGGCGCCACCTACCGACCGGGTTCCGAACTGCGACAGCGTATCAACAGCCATCCGAACCAATTCGCCACGGGATCAACTGATACGTATGACGCGCACCGCCCCCTCACCACACGACCACCAGGCGTCTGTTTGACCTAAAGAATCGACTCCGAACACTGACTATTCAAGACAACTCTTACCACTCAAAAACACTCGAACCCATAAGCCATCCGTGGCTGGAAAGCATCACAACGAGACCGAGGGATGGCCCTCCGTCGTTTATAAGAGTATTCTTAATTTTTATCTTTAATATTTAGTGGGCTGTACTCTTAATCGCATAAATTCCCAACAGATCCATCAATACGAACTGATTCTTGGCACCTCCTTCCGCCGAGCCACGCTCACGTGGGGAGTGGTGGCCCACCGGATCCTTATCAGGTGATCTGGTCCCCAATTAGTAAACTTGGTATAAGATAACGAGCTTCGGAAAAGGAGCACCGTCGCAGGCCCTTACTCCGGGCCGTTCTGTTGTCAGATAACCTGCCGATGTATCTGTTGAGATTGGTGCCTTTAAGAATAATAACTGTTTTTGATTGTGTTTTATCGCCGTATAATCTTTCAAGTATCTTTCAGTCATAATCGCCGCACGTACTCGCATCCTCTACAGAATATTCAACTGTCCCGTGACCCAAGGTGTTAACAACGTGATAAGGGTTGCGTATGGTCAATAAGGAGTGTGGTACTGCATGAACAATATTGAGTATAATCATTCATTAGCGTTAAGGTTTTCTTAGCATAGTATTTGCATATTTCAACGACTCTCTCCCTCACTAACAACCATCGCGTTATGAACAATATTGAGTATAATCATTCATTAACATTAAGGTTTTCTTAGCATAGTATTTGCGTGTTTTAACGACTCTCTCTCTCACTAACAACCATCGCGTTATGCGGGATCCATGTGCAGTTGTCAAAGTGAAATCAGACAATCGTTGATGATACTGTATTGATGCCGTGTTGACGTTCCGGGATTGAGAGTTCGCATATTATATCATAGTTAAGGTTGAATTAGTAATAAATTGATCAATACAGAAGTGGTTGTGTGATTCTTTCCTGAAATCTATGCATAAGATCTGCTTCTGCGTTGAGATTTGAACTTGGTGACCTTAATAAACACACTAATACATACTCAGTAAATGTTAAAGCGATAACGGGGTGAACCGGGGTCTGGTTATCATAACGACTTGCATTATCATAATTACACCCACTCGCATAATTAATACGATTACCTCTCGAATTGGCATAATTAAAATGTGCGTAATTACATAAATTAACATATTTTCGGATAATTACACATTTGGCCAGATTTCATTTAATTATTATTATTTTCACTGAATATTCATAACCCACATATACAACATAATAATTTCACCCACGCACGCATACAACATAACAAATTTTCTTAACCCAACATATACAACATAATGGGGGCTCGTCTTCCGGGATCTCTCGCAGACAGTTTATGCATGAATTCAGGAACGAATCACTGATGTGTTAATCAAAGTGTTGTGAACTAACGTTGCCTTGTGATTGTAAACGGGGGTATACAAACAAAACGCGCTCTGAAGGGAAATACCAGAGTAGCAGAGTATAACAAAGACAGCTGGGCTGAGATTATTTGCTCGAGTTGAACTGACGCATCCTGTGATACAATTGTTTATATGCACTCTGAAAAGAAATATTAAGGTAACTCTTGCCATACTTAAGATGCTAGGATTAAGAACAATATTTGAATGGGTTACGGGATACGGGGAGCTCGTATTTAAACGTACCGACCAATCTGTTACAAAGCAGTACAGTCAGAGAGACATATGGGAAGGGAGCTGTATCGATAACACGAACACACCTTGGGGGAAACTAATTGACTGGATAAAAAGTAACGAAGGCAAACACGATGCAAAAACTGCAGAGAAGGCAGGACAGGACTCATACCTTCTCACACAGGCATACAGACAGGGATTGTGGAATGAAGGAAAATTTGGAAAGGAAACGGGAGAGAAATCGTCTCTAATAAACGACGAGAAATGTCCTCACACCCTCGAGAGGGAGGAGAAATCAAAGCTCGCGACACCAGCGAAACTCACAGACGTTGAGCCACAGAATAAATATGGAAGTAACATCAAATCACTCTCTTGGGTACGTGGACAGAGTCCAGGGATTGATCGCACAAAAGTTAAAGTAAAATCGCCAGGACATGGTACACTAAGGGCAGAGGCAAAAACTGAAGGGAAATGGCAACACGAGCGACACGGCCCTGGGCGCGCACACAGAAAATGCACACCACTTAAACACAAGAGACACAGCACAGACCAAAGTGACAGATTGCCTGATGATAACTTGTTTGATGATGACGCTGTCAGCAATCAACTTTCGGAATACCTGTTCACCAGTAAAACCCTTAAGTTGATGGACAAGGCTCTAGTCAGAATTCCCGATTTTGACCCCCACAATAAGACTATGGATATCCACACACATATCGCGACAGTGGAAGAGGAGGCAATGATTAGAGGGCTGAGGAGACGGGATGAAAAAGCAAGTTTGTTGAAACGGACCTTACATAAAGAATCTATTCCATGGGTAAAGTCACTACCACACAAGGTTAGAAATGATTTTAAACAATTGAGCCTGGCAG